AATACATAGTATTGATAGAGAATAGCTACAATTTTGTTAAAGTTTATGATTTGAAATTACTTTTTCATTTACATTATAAATGGGGCAGGGGAGAAAGCTCTAATATCAACATTGGTTTTCCAATATACATTTTTTATATCCTAAATGAAAGAAGACATGTACAAGAACAGATCTGACCAAGAATGCACCAACCAGTCAGCATAAAACTCAATATAAAGGGACCTATACGTTATTGCTGAAAGCGAAAATGAAAAAAAGTTTTGTCCTTAAATATCTCATTTCTAGGCATTAGAATACTAATGAGGGTCCTGAAACATCAGAAAAAGATTAAATAATACATAGTATTGACATAGAATAGGTACAACTTTGTAAAAGTTCATAATTTGAAGTTATTTTACTTTTTTAATATTTTCCGGTCATTTTTCCTAATGAATGGGGTAGGGGAGATCTGAAAGCTCTACTATGAGTATTCGTCATCCACTATACATTTTTTTATATCGTAAATGAAAGAAGACATCTACAAGAACAAATTTGACTAAAAATGCACCAACCAGTCAGCATAAAACTCAAGATATAAGGACCTATATGTTATTGCTGAAAGTGAAAATGGTAAAAAAGCCATGTTTTGTCCTTAAATGTCTCATTTCTAGGCACTAGTTTACCAATAAAGGTTCTAAAATATCTTAAAAAGATTAAATAACACATAATATTGATATAGAATAGCTACAACTTAACTAAAGTTTATAGTTTCAAGTTATTTTATATTTTCATATTTTTCTTATAATTTTTCATTATAAATGGGGTAGGGGAGATCTGAAACCTCTAATATGACCATTGGTGGTCCACTATACATTTTCTATACCTTAAATTGAAGAAGACATCTACAAGAACAGATTTGATTAAGATTGCAACAACAAGTAACCATAAAACTCAATATATGAGGAACTATATGTTACTGCTGAAAGCTAAAATGATTTTTAAAAATTCCAAGTTTTGTCCTTAAATGTCTCATTTCTAGGCACTAGTATACCAATAAAAGGTTCTGAAATATCTGAAAAACATTAAATAATACATAATATTGATATAGAATAGCTACAACATTGTTAAAGTTTATAAATTCAAGTTATTTTACATTTTCATATGTTTCAGTAATTTTTCATAATAAATGGGGTAGGGGAGATCTGAAAGCTCTAATATGACCATTGGTGGTCCAATATACATTTTTGTATATTAAATGGAAGAAGACATGTACAAGAACAGATTTGATCAAAATTGCAACAACCAGTCAACATTAAACTCAAGATACAAGGAACTATATGTTACTGCTGAAAGCGAAAATGATCAAAAATGCCAAATTTTGTCCTTAATTATCTTATTTCTAGACACTAGTACACTAATGAAGGTCCTTAAACATCTGAAAAACATTAAATAGTACATAGTGTTAATATTAAATAGCTATAGTTTTGTTTGAGTTGAACATTTTAACTTTTTGTAGTTTCCATTTTTAGCCAATTTTTTCCTAAAAAATTCAAGGTATGTCTTCTTCGGACCAATATTTAGATATGTTCGCAAGAGTTATATGCTTCGCAGGCGAAATCCCTTAAACAGGACACCCTAATAGAATGAAAAATACAGAGAAACTCCATCCAGCTCACAAAGTCATTTTTTGCACAATTCTCACACCTTCCACCCCGAGTATTTTTATACCATGTTCAATGTAACCTCTCATATTCCGATGACAGCCATTTGATGATACTGGTGGGATATTTTGAATATCTCTTCGGAGATTTTTTAAACACTCTGTATATAAAGGGTGGGCCAAACATTTTCAATCCGCATTGTAACTTTTTTGTTAGTCATGTATTATCTTCAGTTCTTTAGAAAATTGAAAAACAATTCATTGTCAACAGTTTTAGCAAATATGAATATACAAGCTTAACATTTAATTATTCAATGCAAGGGTTTCCTGAACATGTCCTCCATCCACCTGAACAATCAATCTGGGGTGATTTGACAGTCATACATGACTTAAATGAAGTTTTGAGACACATTGCACCTGTTTTGAAAAAGCTGAGGTCAGTTGAGCTAATAATTACTATCCAAGGGAGACATATTTTGCTTCTCCTAGAGATAACTATACACATGCGTCGAGACCATATGAAGGGTACATATCGTATTGTATGAAAGATACTGTATTTTCAGCGATGATGTCTCAAGCAGAGAAAATATGGAAATATTTCATGACACGAGCAGTATACAGACCATGACCATGACAAGCCAAAATTAATTATACATTTTTCATCTTTAACATTTTTACAAACAATTATTTTAGTATACTCTGAATTTGTGTGGCTTGAACTGCAACAATAAAGGCAATTGAATAAAGAAAAATGTTCCGTTGAGTTTTATTGCCCACTCTGTATGTAGGGTGACTCAAAAATGTACCCAAATGTATATCAACAGCACAGATAAACCAATCAATATTTTCAGACATTTTTTGCATGGTCATGTAGCCAAAGCATGTTAGTCTTCTCTCCAAAAATTGTGTATTTGGGAGAACACGAACATGCCTTGGCTACATGGCCATGCAAAAAATGTCTGAAAATATTGATTGGTTTATCTGTGCTGTTGATATACTTTTAGGTACATTTTGAGACACCCTGTAATTCACATATGAGTGTTATATATATATTCAGTGTTTTCAAAGACGTTCTCTTTTTTCTTATTTATTCATTTATTTATTTTTTATCTTCAACATTAATAGGCTATACCATTTCATCTTTCAGGAAGTTTAGACCTCTTCCTGCATGCATTTACATGTATACAATAAAATGAGAAAGAGGCACGAGAGCTTCTTTTTTAAATGAAGAAAACATTTTTGAAAAACTGAGATGGGCTACTAATCCATGATATATCGTGTTCTTCGTTTCCACCTAGTTACAACTCCCCTTCATATGTTTGGCAACCCTAAATCCTTCGTTGGACTACGTGTTAAAGCCTCTTTATGTCGAAAATTAATGACTTTGATGAATTTTGGAAAATTGTCATTCCCATGTAAACCAATGGGAAATGGTGGGTTCGGGGCAAAGATGATTTCAGGATATCTATTCAGTAAATGATTCACCCAAAAAGTATTGTTTTATATAGAAAATTAAGTTGTCTAACTTTAAGTTTACTTTGTGGACATTAACGTTACAGAGCTTCAAAGTCAATTTTGAAAATCGATTTTCGCCTCCTGTGTTATTTCAATGGGAGAGTTTTTTTTTAAATTTGACTTTGGATACCCATAACTTTGGTAAACGTGAAGAAATGTATCATCTTTTTGTTAAACAAAGTTTTCAAATTCAATTTTCTACCTTACTTGTATTTTTTGCAAGAACTCGAGATAGATGGATATTTTGTCATTTGACAAACCTATCAATTCCCAATTGTTTAACATGGGAATGTCGATTTTCAAAACTTCATCAGATTTGTCATCAATATCTGACCTATTGTTATTGTTGAAGGAATTGAGAAAAAGTGGAGGTATTCGAAATGATGTCAAGTATTATTCTCCTAACAGACTATGCAAATAAAAATTCAAACATAAATCGGCTTTAGCATGTAATCAATGTGGGAGTTAGGGTTGTTAAACTTATCGAGGGGAGTGTAGATAATCATTAATGTTTATTTTTAAAATTGAACATGTTTAGAAATAGAAATTGTCTTCAATTTTTCCACCCTAATGGACATCACAATGACGGTGTTTGGTGTTCGGTGTCTGTAACAAATGGCAGGTAAAACAATATAATGTTTTGCTACAATTGTTCATGGTGGATTTATCAGTAATTTTGAATACCTTTTATTTCACCAAATAACGTTGGTCCAACGTTGGCAGCCACCAAAGAACCAACGTTGGCCCATCGTTGGCCCAACGTTGGCGTGTCCAGCCAGCCAACGTTGGACCAACGTTGGCAGCCACCAAAGAACGAACGTTGGCCCATTGTTAGCCCACCATTGACACAATTTACTTTTTTGTACAGCCATCGTTGGCTCCCTGGTATTAGCAGCAGCCCACAATGGCAGCAAGCCAGCTACGATTTGCCAACTGTGACCGTGCCACCCAATGGCCACCAGTAGTGTCGTTGGCCCGACGTCTTTGTGATATCTTGGCATTTGTACAGTAAATGTGTTCACAAATAATATCCGTTCTACATCAATAAAATATGATGGCTTGTTTTTCCATACTAAATATATTTGGTAGCCTTATAAGTGGTTTCAACTGTATAACAAGGCGAAAATCCATATTTCTGAGGTAAACAACATTATCAGATAATTTTGAAAGAAAATATTTCATAAAATTTACCTTAATTTTTTTTAATGACTGCTGGTATGTTTTTCTTCTATCTTTAAGCAAAGCATTTGCACTGATTTATGGATAGATGGCTTCCTGGTATTAGCGACAGCCAACGACGGGCCAACGTTGGCACAACTACAATTTGCCAACTGCAATTTTGCACTGATTTATTGATAGGTGGCTCCCTGGTATTAGCGGCAGCCAACGACGGGCCAACTACAATTTGCCAACTGCAATTTTGATCCTGTTATTAGCGGCAGCCAACGACGGGCCAACGTTGGCCCAACTACAATTTGCCAACTGCAATTTTGATCCATGGTATTAGCGGCAGCCAACGACGGGCCAACGTTGGCCCAACTACAATTTGCCAACTGCAATTTTGATCCTGTTATTAGCGGCAGCCAACGACGGGCCAACGTTGGCCCAACTACAATTTGCCAACTGCAATTTTGATCCTGTTATTAGCGGCAGCCAACGACGGGCCAACGTTGGCCCAACTACAATTTGCCAACTGCAATTTTGATCCTGATTTTAGCGGCAGCCAACGACGGGCCAACGTTGGCCCAACTACACTTTGCCAACTGCAATTTTGATCCATGGTATTAGCGGCAGCCAACGACGTCAGTGTCAGTATATCCATCAATTAATGTAATGATCATAATAACCATAATCCACTATAATCTATATGACTGTCTATGAACGTCTATATAAATAATTAAGCACTTCAAAAATGTTTTCACTGTTTTCTTTGCATTTTCATTACGACGTCTTCGAATTTTATCTCCTCTTCTGAATTCTTGAATACCAGGTTATTGCTTTCACCAAAATGAGCGAAAATTTTTGTTCCATCTACAATTATGAATTTGTCGGTGCCCCCAACAATTGTAGGTTCTTTCTGTTTCTGATGATGAATTGTTTTATGTACCTTCTTTGGATCTGGTCTTGCAACTCTGATATTGCGTTCACTCTCAATTGACTCAGGCCTTGTTAGAATCTTGAAGAATATGAAAACGGCCACGATTGTAAGAAAAATCACGAAAATATTGTAAGAAGCCATTGATAACGAACTGTTAATCCAGTAATTGTAATATATAGTATAATAGTATACAACTTGACGTCACAACTCTGATAAGTATGAAAGTGTCTGTCTATTGCATGTATCTGTCTGTTGATGATTCTCTTAAAATAAGGTATGGGCAAATAAATAAATGTTTAGCATAGTGTTACATATTTATATCAAGGTACAGTACATAATTAGGTCATACAGATTTAACGACAAAATAATCTGTGTGTACGTTCCTGGCTTTATTTCAAATATTCTGACAGAAATGTATGTTGTAGAGATAGGCCTTGGGCTATTTTCCGTTTTTGTATACCATTTGCCAAAAGAATAATAAGATCCAGGGTTCTCATCAGATTTCCATTGACAATGAGGAAAAATCACAAATTCTGAATTAAAAAGATATCTCAAATTTGTCTAGATTTAGATGTTTATTTTGAGGCAAAGGCAGAGCATGCTCGCTATTGGAAGGAGGCAAAAGAATAGGGCCAATAGGGTACTGTGCCTCCGTCTAAAAGCCCAAAACAAGCACTTTGAGATAAGAACCTCATTATCATTTTACTATCCTTATATAAAATCTAAATACTCTGAAACATAAAATTTAATTATTGTAGCCTATTTTATTACCACATGTAAAGTTTGATATAATGTTTGTTTCTATTGTAATAGACTGTCATTTGTATCAAAAACTGTCATCATGAAATTGATGAACATTTCAAATTTACAAAGTAGACCAATAAATTATATGCAGCCATGAAGTAATTTGTATATAAGCAATTATGACACTGTCGTTGTTTTATGTCATCTTTTTCACAAGTACGAATAGATGAAATGAGAAAATTCCCGAGTTAAAATTATTTTATAAAAAATACCCTATCCTAATATTTTAAAGAGGTTTTTTACCTGTCTATAATAACAGAATAAGCTTAATCTCCTCAACTGTCTTTACACTGCAACGAGTGGATGGTTGTGATGTCTTGATGATAGCCTTTAGAATTTTTCTTGTAATCGCCTAAATTAATAGGCTTTTATAACTCAAACAATTTTTGAATCTGATATGCTTAAAATCGTTCAAGGAAATCTTCGTTGCTTCACATTTGAACAGCTTTACCACAAATTGCAAGGTCGACAGTGACCAGGATATGATCTTGACCAAGTTTCACTGATTCAGTAATGGTTCGCTGATGGATCATGATCACTTGGTGAGGATTAATCTATAAAACTCTGGTCAGTATCAAGCGAAGGTAACGGCCGTAAACTTCGCATCTATGATGGCGGATCGGTAAGTGTCGATTTCGATATTCTTAAGTTTTCATCGAATATTAGAGGAGTTTCCATAAAGCTTTGAAATATTGTTAATTCTCGATTTTTCATGGGATTTTAAGAGATTTGCACTTTTAACCTCCAACAACTAACTTTTCTTTCTTTTTAATAGCATTTGAATTCAGTGAAAAGTTTTCCATGATAATAGGTTTGTCATTTAAATCATTTTCCATGACGTTTTAAAAAAATTGGGCCAAATCTCAATTGTAAGATTGCTAAGATTCTTTAAAACCTTTACTTGGTTTATTCGTTTGACAACCAAAAATTTCATTTTTAATCACAATAGGTACGTTGACAGGGTCATATCATCGTATACCATCTGAGATTCAGATAGATTCAACCAGCACTTTTTCATGAATGAAAAGATTAAGTGGCTATTGCAATTTTATAACAAGGAAGGCTAAGGCAGTCTGGCCCAAGCAAAACGAAGAATGACAAGGGTGCCATCTATTATCTTAGCTATATTTAGCTATTTAGAAACTATACAAGTACTGAAATTACTTTATAATTGACGTTATGCTTGATATTTGAACTAGATCAGGCGTATATGACATGGAAACTCTGGTGTGTGATTATTTGTTCATATCCGTGGGCGCCACACAGTTCAAGGATATCTCAATTCCACCAGGAAGGTACATGTAACTGGGACTTGTATTGAACAGTGGCGCCCACGCATGATATAAGAACAATTTATTGTTCTCCAGAAACAATCTTGTTTGGTTTATGACATATATTTTAATGTCCTAGTAATGATATACTATAGGTCTGTGAATAGTTATTCAGGTTTTTTGGGGGGCTTAGCAAAATTATCAAACATGACTGGATCTTGGTCAAATTTCATACTTATGTTGTATGAAAGATTTCTGACAAATTTTAAAAGATCCTGCGAGCGAAGTGCATTTTACACGTACTCTGTTAACGTACAGACGCCGGGGGGTAATTTCCAAATTTTTTGAGTTTGTTATATAAAACTAACAAAACTTGTCTACATGATTGAATATGAAAATGTATCGATCAGTGGCAATTAAATAGGACCCAAAAATACAAAAACCTGAATAACAAATCACAGGACTCTAGTATATTTGCTCCGCCCCATTGATCAGTTTTTTCAATTCTTTTTCCACTAACAAAAAGATGTCTGATACTAATTGTAAGTTAGAACTTCAACATGAATGTAAAATGGTGACCTCGATTCTTCAAACCCAAGTAATTTTGGTAGACGTGTGTTGAATTAAAGAACACAACATCTTCGAAGAAAGATTCAAATAAAATGATTTGTACTATTTTTACAAGTATTTGTATTTCTTTACAAAAAATGTATAAAAAATGTTTTTAAAACCACACTTCTGGATGTAATTTACACATAGATTTCAAATATCTTTGACTGAATTATGATGTAAATAAAGATTATTTATAATCGAAATGGGCATCAACGCTGGTAGATCCAGGGGCATGCCCCCCCCCCCTTCTAGGTCCTTTAAATTTGGGGCATTAGCCTACACGACCTTTTATGGGAATTTTTAGGCCTAATTGTGAAAAGTGGGCCTCAAATTTAAAAGATTGGGCCTAATTTTTGGAAGTTTTGGGGCGCAAGAAAATTTCCTCACATTTTTAACTTCTGGGATCCGCCAGTGATCAGGGATTACTTACAATATTTCAGATTCATTGATTAAGGCCCGTGATAAGCTTTCATCTGTCAATTAGATTGAAAGGAATCTCATTTGCGTAACGTACAGTCCGTGACATCAGCAACGACGTCGTACAGTATCTGGTTTATTGTAATGATCCAAAATGAAAGGCGGTTTGACCACAGACTTTTCAGGTCCGTGGTTTGACATAAATTCTAGTATTTGTTGATACGTTTGAGGCCTGGGATTTTGCGAAATTCATTCACAAAATAGAGCTCCGGGTGGTGAATCTATAACAATCATGTTGAAATAGCCTAGAATAGATCAGAAGAATGCATTGGACGTGAAATCGTAGTGGATAAAATCAATTTTATTTATATCTTGATTTTTCCCTCGAGAAAAATTAGTACCGTGGGTACTGGGCTCACATGGTGACAGAAAAAACGGATATAATTTTTTGCTGATTTTTTGTAACAAAATTATTTCAAGCCACTTGCCACTATTTTGGACTGACTGAGAGACAGATGGACAAATCGATACTAAGTAAAATGGCTGAGAAAAAAACGGATATAATTTTTTGCCAATTATTTGGAACAAAATTATTTCATACAACTACTCTTTACAGTGACATGGCTTTTTGCAATGCAAGACACCTGAAATTATTTGTAAAGCTAGGAAATAGGCCAAAATTGAATTTCGCGAGACAAAAATGGCGACCATATTGAAATCAGGCAAGCTTTTGAACCAGGAGTCATAGGGGAGTTTTTTGTATTGATGTTGAACAAAAATAATGTGAAACTGGAATCCTATCGACAGAGGTTTTAAGCAAATGGTTCAAAAGAGGATTTCGCGAGACAGATGGACAAATCAATGTTAACTAAAATGGCTGAAAATAAAAAAACAGATATAATATTTTAGTCTGGCAGAAACTTCAAAGCTAATTGTTTTCTTCGGATTACAATGTTTTTTTAACTTATCAGCATGAATATAGGGTTGGGACCTCAAAACCATTAGATGCCGGAGCGGCACCCTTGGGCAACTCTCTACAGAGCATTTCTTATACCCCCCTGATAAAATACTGGGGTACTATAAGACACCCTCATATCTCAGACACTAATAAATATATTAACTTGAAATTTTCAGGAATTGGTTTTAGTATGATGCTTGACACATGTGACAAAAATCAAGAAAAAATCTTAATCTGTTGCTATAGCAACAGAAATAGACACTATTTGTTACCGTAGAAATGCATTATTTTGCTGATTTTCATAATTTTCTTCATATTCTTGATTCTTAAAGCATCTGAAGTATATATGTATCTGTTATATACATGATTAGAAGTAAAGATGAAATAATTCATCATATGGTTTATGTAATATATCTAACATTTCAGTTGCTATGGTAACATCACTTAATAATCAGGTTTTTACATTTCACTTTCTTTAAAAAGGTGGTCCAAAATAACACTTCTTGAAAAGGTTATGCTCCCTAGGTAAAAAAGTGCTGCTTAAGATATAAATAGTCACATGAATTTGAAAAAAAAATTATAATTTAATTTTACCCCACCTCGACAGCCACCAATTCTGGCAAAATAGATTAATTTTCAAGGTTTAAATAAAAAATGTCCCCAGTGGCCCCCAGGAGCTATACCATGGACCCCAGTGGCCCCAGAAGCTATACAGGGCCTCCCAGTGGCCCCAAGATGCTATAAGGTGGCCCCAAGAAGCTATACAGGGACCCCTAGTAGCCCCCAGAAGCTATACAGGGGCTCCAAATGGCCCCTAGAAGCTATGGTGACTTCCAGAAGCTATACAGGGGCCCCCAGAATCTATACAGTGGCCCCTAGTGCCCCCTTAAAGCTATACGGTGGCCCCAGAAAGCTATATGGTGGCCCCCAGAAGCATGTCCAGCGGCCCCTAGTAGCCCCCAGAAGCTATATGGTGGTCCCCAGTGGCTCCAAGAAGCCTCACAGTGGCCCCCAAAAGCTATACAGGGGCCCCTAGTAGCCCCAAGAAGCTATATGGTAGGCCCCAGAAACTATATGATGGCACCCAGAAGCTATACGGTGGCCCCAAGTAGCCGCCAGAAGCTATATGGGAACCCCAGAAGCTGTACGGTGGCCCCCAATGGCCTCAAGAAACTATACAGGGGCCCCCAGAAGCTATACGGTGGCTCCCAAAAACTATATGGTGGCCCCCCAGTGTCCCCAAGAAGCTAAACAGGAGCCCCCAGAAGCTATACAGGGACCCCTAGTAGCCCCCAGAAGCTATATGGTAGCCCCTGGAAGCTATACAGGTGCTCCAAATGGCCCCTAGAACCTATATGGTGACTTCCAGAAGCTATGCAGGGGCCCCCAGTAGCCCCCAGAATCTATACAGTGGCCCCTAGTGCCCCCTTAAAGCTATATGGTAGCCCCGGAAAGCTATATGGTGGCCCCATGAAGCATATCCAGGGGCCCCTAGTAGCCCCCAGAAGCTATGTGGTGGTCCCCAGTGGCTCCAAGAAGCTTTAAAGTGGCCCCCAAAAGCTATATAGGGGCCCCTAGTGGCCCTAAGAAGCTATATGGTAGGCCCCAGAAGCTATATGATGGCACCCAGAAGCTATACGGTGGCCCCCAGTAGCCGCGAGAGGCTATAGGATGGCATCCAGTGGCCCCCAGAAACTAAATGGTAGCCCCCAGAAGCTGTACGGTGGCCCCTAATGGCCCCAAGAAACTATACAGGGGCCCCCAGAAGCTATATGGTGGCTCCCAAAAACTATATGGTGGCCCCCTAGTGTCCCCAAGAAGCTAAACTGGAGCCCCCAGAAGCTATACAGGGGCCCCTAGTGGCCCCCAGAAGCCATACGAGGGCCCCCAGTAGCCCCCAGAAGTAAGCCCAAATTTTCACTAACAAAAAATTCACGATGTTGTCAATCTGAAATGTTTCATGGCCATTAAATTTCACTGTTAGAGAAATATCCAATTGAATTCAATGTTAAATCAAATATTTACAGTGCCTTTAAAAGCTATACGATGGTCCCCAGTGGCCCCCAGAAGCTATACAGGGCCCCCAGTAGTCTGATTGCTCAGATGAGGAAAGCCAATACTTATAAAATTTAGACATTATGCCAAAATCTAGACTATGCCAACCTCTCTATTGTATAATTACATTAGATTTTATTATGATGCATGTTCTAAATGCCAAAGTCTAGACTATATGCCAACCTCACTACTGTATGAATGCATTAGATTTCATTTGATATACATGTATATACTTAATATAAAATATGCAGTGTCCTATATACTAGTGTAATACTATATACTAGTTTAAGAATCAGGTATATGAAGAAATGTTGAAAATCAGCAAAATAATGCATCTCTACGGTAACAAATAGTGTTCTGTTACTGTTGCTATAGCAACGGATTAAGATTTTTTCTTGATTTTTGTCATACATGTCAAGCATCATACTAAAACTAATTCCTGAAAATCTCAAGTTAATATATTTATCAGTATCTGAGATATGAGGGTGTCTTATAGTACCCCCTGTATATTTTATCAGGGGGGTATAAGAAATGCTCTGTAGAGAGTTGCCCAAGGGTGCCGCACCGGCATCCGGTGGTTTTGAGGTCCCAATCCTATATTCATGTTGATAAGTTAAAAAAACATTGTAATCCGAAGAAAACGATTGAATGTCAAAATACCCTATATTTCTGCCAGACTATTTTGCCGATTTTTTGTAACAAAATTATTTCATACAACTACTCTTTACAGTGACACGGCTTTTTACAATGTAGGACAGCTGGAATTATTTGTAAAGCTAGGAAATGGACAAAAAGTGAATTTCGCGGAACAAGAATGGCGACCATTTTGAAAATAGGCGAGCTTTTGAACCAAGAGTCATAGGAGAGTTTTTTGTATTGATGTTGAACAAAATTAACTTAAAACAGAAATCCTATCGACAGAGGGTTTAAGGTAAATGGTCCAAAAGTGGATTTTGCGAGACAGATGAACAAATCGATGTTAACTAAAATAGCTGAAAATAAAAAAAATTAATATAATTTTTTGCTGATTTTTCGTAACAAAATTATTTCATACATCTACTCTTTACATTGACATGGATTTTTACAATGTAGGACACTTGAAATTATTTGTAAAGCTAGGAAATGGGTCAAAAGTGAATTTCGCGAGACAAAAATGGCGGCCATTTTGAAAATAGGCGAGCTTTTGAACCAGGAGTCTTAGGGGAGTTTTCTGTATTGATGTTGAACAGAAATAACTTAAAACAGGAATCCTATCGACAGAGGTTTTAAAACGTGCCACTTTTATTGACGGAAAGTGGATTTCGCGAGTCAGATAGACAAATCAATGTTAACTAAAATGGCTGAAAATAAAAAAATGGATATAATTTTTCGCTGATTATTTGTAACAATATTATTACATATATCTACCCTTTACATTGACATGGATTTTTACAGTGTAGGACAGCTGAAATTATTTGTAAAGCTAGGAAATGGGTCAAAAGTGAATTTTGCGAGACAAAAGCGACGGCCATTTTGAAAATAGGCGAGCTTTTGAACCAGGAGTCATAGGGGAGTTTTCTGTTTTGATGTTGAACAGAAATAACTTAAAACGGGAATCCTATCGACAGAGGTTCTAAAACAAATGGGTCAAAAGTGAATTTCGCGAGACAAAAGTGGCGGCCATTTTGAAAATAGGCGAGCTTTTGAACCAGGAGTCATAAGGGAGTTTTCTGTATTGATGTTGAACAGAAATAACTTAAAACAGGAATCCTATCGACAGAGGTTTTAAAACGTGCCACTATTGTTGACGGACGGACAGACGGACGGAGAGACAGACGGACAAGTGAGTGATTGCAAAAGCTCACCATGTGAGCTAAAAATGTCGAGCCAAACGTTAACGTACAAATGGACTGCACGGTGTTATTTATGACACTGTACGTTACCGATGTTTACATAGGGGTGTAATTCTTATAGATTGATTTAAATTGTACTGAACAGATTTTGGCTACTTCAATAACCTTTTCCAACCAATGAATTTGCAGTGACGTCATTTTTCACGTGACTCATTTTCACAAGATAAAGACGGAACAAGTTTGCCTTTATCATCAATTTCTACACATTGCAGCTCGCTGATACATGTAAGTACTTGCTAAATTCAACACTTTATGATAATGAACACAAAGGAAATGATAGAATTGTAAAAGACTCTGTATTTTGCTGAGGCTTTTAGATTCTAAGTTGTTTACAAAATAATTTTCTAGAAAATCCTGAAATCACGGACAGACACTCACTGATCACGCAATTTTGTGATGAAATTGAGGTCATTGTAGGACAATCCATGCATTTTTGAAAGGATGCAGTAGTATCTGTATTGGTGGAGCTACTTGTGTTAAAACCATTGCATAAGATCCACTAGAAGAACAACGCACATTTCTTCCCTTTGAATCAAATGGCCATTTCAGTTTCATTCATTTAGGCTAGCTAGATTTCTAGGGCGAAGGGGTGTAACGTCGACACCGTTTTGGGGTAACTTCGACATGTGGGGTAACTTCGACACCTTGTTGTTTATTTGCTCTAATTTCCGATCTAGGGGGAAGCCATGTTTTTTTTCTCGCATGGATCGAGATCTCGTGAGATTTTAATTTTTCCAGAAATCAAACATGGCGGAAAACGGAAATTCTACTTCTAATACGTAAGTGTCGAAGTTACCCTGTCTATTATGTCGACATTACCCCACACGTCGACATTACACCCCTTCGCCCTAATACTAGGCTAGATCTATTTAGGGTAATTACAATAAAAACAAAATTTTGTTATGTTTCCGCGATTTTCCTGGTACACCTAAAACATGGAGATATACTACTCAGTGGCGGATCCAGAAATTAACAAGGGGGCCCAAGGTATGAGTCTGGAATAAAGTTTCTGCACTTGTGCGGAAAAACATTTTGGGCCCCCAAAACCAAAAATTGGGCCCATCTGTTGAAGCCCTACAAAATTTTGGAAAGCCCATTGCATATCACTTGAAAATCAGCATCTGATTACCCCAATTTCTTGATTATTTTGCGATATGTATTTTGGCCAGTAAATGATTGTCACCAGTTTTTCACCATCCTCTGGCTTATCTCATTGAGCACTTTACTTTCAGTGAATGAGACGAAAGCATCTGGAAAAAAAAATGGCGGAAGAACAATTTTTGACTCGAGTGACCACGTACCCAGTTGTAAACTCAGCTCTGGGTCAGCTGACCAATGCCTACGAGGCAACTAAAAACAGCAACAGCCTGGTTAAGTCCACTCTAGAGATGGCGGAGACTGGAGTGAAGGGAGTTGCCCAACATACTTTACCCATCGTCAACAAGTTTGAGCCCCAAGGTAAAAATTTTGACTTAAACTCAATAGGATTGAAATATTTTCTTCATGTGGTTTAGCTATTCAATATCTACTGAATTATAGATAACAATTGTTTATTTGAAATCGCCAGGACTTTTCCCCATGCATGTTCTTTTGTATGTTGTGATCAACAAGTCTACCACTTCATGCACCATTGATCATAAGGAAATCAAAGATGTCAGTTGAACTCATGTTAAACTGTACATGTTTTTTTTTTATATATTATAGTGAGTAAACTGAATTCTCTTGGAATGACATCCTTGAACAAGCTAGAAGAAAGCTTCCCTGTTGTCAAGTCACCCACTGAGGAGGTAAGTTTATTAGAAGATTAACGTTTTCATCTTATGGCATTCCATCCTTCATATCACAGAACAAATAGGCCCTTTCTCGAGACCAAAGTCTTGTGACCCTTAGGTCCTTCTCAACCCGCTCTTCTTCATCATCATCCTCCAGATTGCAGAAATATAGTTGCATGTTCAAATATATACATTACTTACCTAATACCTATGTCCATGAGAGAATCATTCCAACTTTTTAATCAAAATAGGTTTTCCTCTAATTTTATTATGTCCTGTTAAACATGTAGTTTAACTTGATACCTGTTGCAAATACATGTATTTATTCAGATATTAATACTATTTCTAGGTGATTAATAACACAAAGGAATTGTATGAGACACGTGTCAAACCTACTGTGGACTACGTAGCAACCCCAGTAACATACAGTGTGGAGAAGGTAAATTTTAATATAATGTCCTTAAAAAACTAAATCTTGACGAAACTATTTCTACAAAAAAAGATACTAAAAGAAATGAAAATTGCCCCTCTTGTGAGACCTTAATTTATATATTTCAGGCTAAAGCATAAATGTGTTAAATGTCATAGTTCTCTCTGTATCAGCTCATTGATATTTAAAGCCCAATTGACCTTTCTTTGACCTATTTACAGTTGTCCCCTCTTTAATATTTACTACCAAGCACGATGTGATTTTGAAGTGTTTAAACCTGCACATCGCTCCAAAACGCAATATGTTGACACATATTGTTTTTACATTTTCAAGCTCTAATATAAAGTTTATGTAAATAAAAATTGTTTTTTCTGCCTAATATCAAAGAACTATCATTTAGTTAAAAAAAATAAAAAGGCTAGTGCGGGATTCGAACCCGGGCCTCCCGCGTGCTCAGCGAGGATTCTACCCGCTACACCACCGCATTATTATGAAAGGAGGAAGTAATTAAACGCTACTTATTTTGAATGCTATGATTCGGAAGTGACGTCATGGTCTTCATTTAGAAACCTTTCCAAAATCATATCGCCGGCACCGATCGAAGCAAATTCAATGAAAAATCTTTGAAATGACACATTTATCGTAAGTATTTCTACACAAGATTTGCCCCATTTGTTCATCATTCTATAATCTTTCATTAAGCTCAAAATGATAAAGTTCACCCCCGAAACAACCCAAGATTGCGTTTCGGAGCGTAGTCCAGCTTTAAGTTGGCCTTTACTTGAATTCATACTTTTATGATTCTTCATTGCCATTTAGCTTTCTTGATAAATTTTCCTTTTACCATCATGCAATTACACCAAAATTAGCTTGAGGGGCATGTGACTTGACAGTGTTGTCACCATGGAGCATCGTGTTTTAACATTTTCAAAGTTTTAGGCAAAGGACCAGATTGAGTATGGCAAGTGATTTTAGATATCTTTCACCATGAGTACTTTCTGGCCATAAATACAATGGCTTTTATCAAAACAATATGTTTTCTTTCAAGCGAAGTCCCCGTGACAATATAAATATCAACCAACTCTCTGGAAGTATGGCTTCAAAAGTTTCATCTACACAATATAAACAACTTCTGAAAATTGGATGGGGATTGAAATGCGATAAAGTTAAAAACCACATATCCCATGTTGTCTCCCCAAAGGGAAAACTCATGCTATCCATTGTTTTCAGCATAATTTTGGTCACTGAAAATTGATATCTTCAAACCTAGACTTTCAATCCATTCTATGTTCGAAGATGCTTTAGGGTCCCTATTCATAATTTTTCAGATTGTTAAATTGATACCTTACTATCCTTAAAAGATTAATTGAAAGATAACTATTGTGTTAATGAGAAATGTCATATTTAAATTGATAAAGTACTCATGTTGAGAGATATGACTATCTAAAATCAATTACCATACTAAACCTGGTCCTTTCACAATTTTAATCTTATCATTTACTGGTATCATTATTTATCAATAGAATACTTTGAACATTTAAGGTGAGAGTGACACTTAAAGTTGTGTAACTACTAACAGTTATTAACCATGGGCATTCAATAAGATTGAAAGCCCATGAATTAACTTAACACATTTTGGAAGAGCAATAGTATAATGACCTTCTGAATTGACTATATGGTAGCTGATTCTAAAAACATACATTATATATCATGATATATAACTGTTTTCAGTACATACAAACATATAAGGTACATTACCTTATATGGCCAGGACGGTGTTATTTTTTTATTATTAGATTTGGTACTGTATATTTATGATGAGATCACGTGTTGTAGGAATGCTCATATCATGTGCAACTGTAGTAGATATCATTTTAACTGTTGGGTTATATAGTGCCTATTAGTATAATTGTACATGGATTGCACAACCCAAGCTTAAAGTTCATGCTAAGTATCATTTATAATTTATGGGACGATCTACATTTATAGTCTTATCAATTTTTCTTTGTATGTGTCAAGCTTAAAGTCCGTTCAAAATATCACTTATATCTTGGATTATCTTATTTATCATTTGAGATGTGAAAAGGCCAGTCGAGCAAACCCGAATCACACTCATGTTTGAAAGAGTCACACCAAAGTGGAATATTGTATTCATGCTTTCCTATCATGGGCTAGACTATTCACCTTTAAATTTTATTCCACAAAGTGCTTACTGAATCATACAAAATATTCTTTTGAAGCTAAAATATAATCTAACATTTCAACTCTATTTTTCCAAGGTTATTTTCTGCAAGAAGCTATTGGGCTTTTTAGAAACCCCATAAAAAACTCATGAGTCAAAAATCATGTACATATTTTTAGCAATAACCTTTGGAACATGACATGTCAAATATATCATGTAAATTCACAAACACCTATCAATTATTTTTGAAGGGTTAGTGGCTAAAAGTATGTGTCATTTTGAATAAATAAAATTTGTAAATTATTAATAAATGTTTTTTTATTTAAAAAAGAATTTGTATGTTATCGTGTAGAATTAGGGCCATTTAAGGATTGATTTTTAATAGTATTTAGCCCCTATTGAATATAAAGGAAATCATTGTAATTTGGTACCTGGAAAAAAACAATTAAGAAAGGAACAGTTATCTAGGGAGTACAATATTCACATACAAGTTCTCTTTACTAGAAGGTGTAGCTTAACCATGCCTTAGAGAACAAAGAAATAATTGATCTGACCACCATATTGTTCTTTTGTGGTTTATAGGTGCAGAACCTGACAAGCTACAGCACTGAGAAGATTAATGATGTCAAGGAATACAGTGCACAGAAAGTAAAGGAGATCAAGGATTTCACCAACAACAAGGTACAGGACTCGAAGCAGCTTGGGACTGACACGTTGAATGGTGTGAAGACCTATACAACTGAAAAGGTGAGAATCCTTTTGTATGGAAATGTACAAGAGTTTGGAATCTTAGCATACTATTTATGTGAACTATCTGTAATATAGCACTAGCCATGTTTATTTAATCAAGTCAATTTGCAGTCATAGAAACCTACAATAAGCTACCCAAAAGAAAAGTTCAATATTCTTTCTTGTCTTTGTAGGTGACTAATGCTTTGAAAACTCCATATGGCCAAACAGTCCTTACAGGGGTGGATACCTTGTTGGGCACAGCAGAGGGTTATGTGGAGAAGTACCTGCCTGATGATGAACCTAAAAATGAAGGTGAGAAAGCCTCCAAGCTATATCATGTCATTTTCATTATGAAAATTAAAAGAATAATCATAGATATCCTGGAGCCAAGATCATAGGATTATTTCCCTTTTAAGATTGAAGATGAAGCACTCTTTTAAAGATCTTTGAGTTGTAAAATCAGACTCTTGCAAAAGGTGCCTGAGCTGGAATATTAATCTCTGTGGTAGCCAGAGAATCTTACTTTATATACGAATTCAAAAGTGTATTTTTCTGTAATTTTCGAATTGATTTATCCTTCATAGGTGATGAAACAAGCCGAATGGAAGTTGTCCCGGGAAAGGAAGATGTCAACCAGTTGACCAGAGCGGCATCTTTAACAGGGAAAGTGCGTCGTAGACTCTACAACAAAGCTATGTCCGATTTGGCAAACATTCAGAAGCGAAGTAAAGACACTTTGAACAGATTGAACTTTACTGTGGACTTGGTATGTTTCACTTAGGATAAATATATTAAATATATATTATATACTATAATATAATATATTGTAAATCTATAAACACTTAGGCAATTGAAGTTTTAAGAAAATGTTGAATGTATCTTCACTCTCTGTTTCAAAGAAAATTAATTAATTAATTTAATTTATTAAAATACAAACTAAAAAATCATTTATATCATTTTTAGCTAAGTATTTGCTAATCTTGCTTGTTCCATATTTTAACCTAAATAGCAGTTCAAGGGAACCCAGACTGAAGTTTAACAGTAAACAAATGTCTGACAAAATGTACTTAAATTTGATTTATTGCATTCCTTTAATAGTATATACACATAGTCCTTCAATAGAGTAAACATTTCTAAACCCATCTACTAATTGTCCAGCATAAGTGATCACATATACCAGGTCGTTCAATAAGTTCACGGAAAAATCCTCTCATTTGAAGTGTACATTCAAATGCTTTAAAACCAGGAAATGGAGATCAGCATCAGTCCGTCTGTCCGTCCGTCCGTCTGTCCGTCCGTCAACAATAGTGGCACGTTTTAAAACGTCTGTCGATAGGATTCCTGTTTTAAGTTATTTCTGTTCAACATCAATACAGAAAACTCCCTTATGACTCCTGGTTCAAAAGCTCGCCTATTTTCAAAATGGCCGCCACTTTTGTCTCGCGAAATTCACTTTTCACCCATTTGTTTGATAACCTCTGTCGATAGGATTTCCGTTTCAAGTTATTTCTGTTCAACATCAAAACAGAAAACTCCCCTATGACTCCTGGTTCAAAAGCTCGCCTATTTTCAAAATGGCCGTCACTTTTGTCTCGCCAAATTCACTTTTGACCCATTTCCTAGCTTTACAAATAATTTCAGCTGTCCTACACTGTAAAAATCCATGTCAATGTAAAGGGTAGATATATGTAATAATATTGTTACAAAAAATCAGCGAAAAATTATATCCATTTTTTTATTTTCAGCCATTTTAGTTAACATTGATTTGTCTATCTGACTCGCGAAATCCACTTTCCGTCAATAACAGTGGCACGTTTTAAAACCTCTGTCGATAGGATTCCAGTTTTAAGTTATTTCTGTTCAACATCAATACAGAAAACTCCCCTATGACTCCTGGTTCAAAAGCTCGCCTATTTTCAAAATGGCCGCCATTTTTGTCTCACGAAATTCACTTTTGACCCATTTCCTAGCTTTACAAATAATTTCAAGTGTCCTACATTGTAAAAATCCATGTCAATGTAAAGAGTAGATGTATGAAAGAGTTTTGTTACGAAAAATCAGCGAAAAATTATATCAATTTTTTTTATTTTCAGCTATTTTAGTTAACATTGATTTGTTCATCTGTCTCGCAAAATCCACTTTTGGACCATTTACCTTAAACCCTCTGTCGATAGGATTTCCGTTTTAAGTTAATTTTGTTCAACATCAATACAAAAAACTCTCCTATGACTCTTGGTTCAAAAGCTCGCCTATTTTCAAAATGGTCGCCATTCTTGTTTCGCGAAATTCACTTTTTGCCCATTTCCTAGCTTTACAAATAATTCCAGCTGTCCTGCATTGTAAAAAGCCGTGTCACTGTAAAGAGTAGTTGTATGAAATAATTTTGTTTCAAAAAATCGGCAAAATATTATATCTGTTTATTTATTTTCAGCCATTTTAGTTAACATTGATGATTTGTCCATCTGTCTCGCGAAATCCTCTTTTGAACCATTTGCTTAAAACCTCTGTCGATAGGATTCCAGTTTCACATTATTTTTGTTCAACATCAATACAAAAAAACTCCCCTATGACTCCTGGTTCAAAAGCTTGCCTGATTTCAATATGGTCGCCATTTTTGTCTCGCGAAATTCAATTTTGGCCTATTTCCTAGCTTTACAAATAATTTCAGGTGTCTTGCATTGCAAAAAGCCATGTCACTGTAAAGAGTAGTTGTATGAAATAATTTTGTTCCAAATAATTGGCAAAAAATTATATCCGTCTTTTTTCTCAGCCATTTTACTTAACATCGATTTGTCCATCTGTCTCTCAGTCAGTCCAAAATAGTGGCAAGTGGCTTGAAATAATTTTGTTACAAAAAATCAGCAAAAAATTATATCCGGTTTTTTCTGTCACCATGTGAGCCCAGTACCCACGGTACTAATTTTTAAATAATAAACCAAAAACTATGTCACAGTTGTTCTAAAGTGTTTTAGAAACAACATGAAGAAGTCTTTGAACAACCCTCGTAAAACTTTCTATATGTGTTATAGATCCAGTATGCCCAGAGTAACTTGGATAGTGCAAAGGACAAGGCATCTTACTACTGGAATGAGATCTCCAAGGTAGAAGAGGAAGCAAAGGTTTTGGAGGCGAAAGATAAGAGTGTGGAGGCGGCTGAGGGAGAAGATGTTGAAATCTACGAAGTGGAGCCTAAAATGGTATATGCGAGTTTTTCATATCAGTTATAGCATTAATTTCTACACATAATTTATTTCAATGCTATTCCACCTACCCACCCACTTGTAATACATGAAAGTCTATTGGGCTATTCCTAACAGTTCCAAAGTATGATTATTTTTGGTATAAGTCCAAAACTGATGTTTTCAAATTATTGTTGAATGGAATTGCTTATTTTCACTGTTCCACAACTGGATGACTCTAACTGCAGTTAGCTTCATTCAAGATGGTTGCCGAGATTCTTTCGTTTTCGATAAACCTCCGATTTTAGCTAAACTAAGTTGAATCGTGATTCCAAAAGTTTCGCCATGCAAATTAATAAAACTATGATTGTATTCAACCACAAATGAATGCTCTAACACCCATAATATTAGAGAATTTTAAAGAAAACGACTTCACTTAGAATGACTCTAACTGAAGTTGATGATCTACGCCATCATGACGTCATCATCAACTTCAGTTAGAGTCATTCTAAGTGAAGCCGTTTTCTTTAAAATTATCCAATATCGCGGTTGTTTGAGCATTTATTTGTGGTTATTTACCATCGTAGCTTTATTAATTTGCATGGCGAAACATTTGGAATCCAGATTCAACTTATTTTAGCTGAAATCGGAGGTTTATCGAAAACGAAATGATCTCGGCAACCATCTTGAATGAAGCTAACTGCAGTTAGAGTCATCCAGTTGTGGAACAGTGATTTTACTGATCTTATTAATGAAGTGCAATGTGTAACATAAAATGTGTGGATATAAAAGACGCTTTGAAATTACTAACAATATATGTAATGTTACATGCATTTTTGTATTCTCTATGTGGTAATAATAAGCCATTCAATAAGCAGGGCACTGCACTTGTTATTTATCATTTGCCAAGTTTTTACATTTGCTTTTGTATGACAGACAATGGAGCGAAGAGGGATTCTGCTAGCTCGTAGCTTGGCTATGCAGCTTAGAAGGGGTCTCAATATGACAAAGGACTCGTACAAAATGCTGCCAGGCAGTGTGCAAGAGAGACTTAGTAATGCGCAGGGATTCTCAAAGGCTGTATATTCCACACTCACTGATGTAAGTACTGTAAAACATTGAAAACTCTTGAACACCTTTATATGAACAATTTTTGAATATTAGTTTTTACCATTGGCTGCCATGGTAAATTTTAACTCATAAAGTTAAACAGTGAAGATTTCCTTCAAAGGAAATTATTTGAATGTCCAATTAACTATCAATTTTGTAAAGTAAAATAGTGATCAGTAAAATAGTGAATTACACAGTCTCTATTTACAGATTCACCTAATTCTATTATCTAGGCATCATTATTTTTATGTCACCACCAAAAGTGGTGACATATTGTTATGGTCTCCATTTTTTTTCGACGGCGTCCGGCGGTTGGTGGTTGGCGTCCAGCGGTTGGCGGTTGGCGTCCGGCGTCTGTAACAATTTCTTACAACTTCCTATAACTTAACAAATACTGTTTAGACTGACTTCAATTTTTTTCTAAATCATCTACATGTTCTCAGAAGTTCAAATCTGACTTTAGATTTGACATTTGACCTTCAATGACCTTCTCAAGGTCAAAAAGGTCTTTTTTCAACTTGCTTCACATTGACTAAATTTTTTTTCAAAATCATCTACATGTTCTCAGAAATTCAAATCTGACTTTAGATTTGACATTTGACCTTCAAATCTGACTTTAGATTTGACATTTGACCTTCAATGACCTTCTCAAGGTCAAAAAAGGTAAAAAAGGTCTGTTTTCAACTTGCTTCGAATTGACTAAAATTTTTTTTCAAAATCATCTACGTGTTCTCAGAAATTCAAATCTGACTTAAGATTTGACTTAAGATTTGACATTTGACCTTCAATGACCTTGTCAAGGTCAAAAAAGGTCAAAAAGGTCTGTTTTCAACTTGCTTCAAATTGACTAAAAAAAAAATTTTCAAAATCATCTATGTGTTCTCAGAAATTCAAATCTGACTTTAGATTTGACTTAAGATTTAACATTTGACCTTCAATGACCTTCTTAAAGTCAAAAAAGGTCAAAAAGGTCTTTTTTCAACTTGCTTCAATTTGACTAAATTTTTTTTTCAAAATCATCTACATGTTCTCAGAAATTCAAATTTGACTTTAGTTTTGACATTTGACCTTCAGTGACCTTCTCAAGGTCAAAAAAGGTCAAAAAGGTCTGTTTTCAACTTGCTTCAAATTGACTAAATTTTTTTTTCAAAATCATCTACGTGTTCTCAGAAATTCAAATCTGACTTAAGATTTGACATTTGACCTTCAATGACCTTCTCAAGGTCAAAAAAGGTCAAAAAGGTCTGTTTTCAACTTGCTTCAAATTGACTAAAAAAATTTTCAAAATCATCTACGTGTTCTCAGAAATTCAAATCTGACTTTAGATTTGACTTAAGATTTGACATTTGACCTTCAATGACCTTCTTAAAGTCAAAAAAGGTCAAAAAGGTCTTTTTTCAACTTGCTTCAAATTGACTAAATTTTTTTTTCAAAATCATCTACATGTTCTGAGAAATTCAAATCTGACTTTAGATTTGACATTTGACCTTCAATGACCTTCTCAATGTCAAAAAAGGTCAAAAAGGTATTTTTTCATCTTGCTTCAAATTTACTAAATTTTTTTTCAAAATCATCTTCATGTTCTCAGAAATTCAAATATGACTTTAGATTTGACATTTGACCTTCAATGACCTTCTCAAGGTCAAAAAAGGTCAAAAAGGTCTTTTTTCAACTTGCTTCAAATTGACTAATTTTTTTTTTCAAAATCATCAACATGTTCTCAGAAATTCAAATCTGACTTTAGATTTGACATTTGACCTTTAATGACCTTCTCAAGGTCAAAAAAGGTCAAAAAGGTCTGTTTTCAACTTGCTTCAAATTGACTAAAAAAAAATTCAAAATCATCTATGTGTTCTCAGAAATTCAAATCTGACTTTAGATTTGACTTAAGATTTGACATTTGACCTTCAATGACCTTCTCAAAGTCAAAAAAGGTCATAAAGGTCTTTTTTAAACTTGCTTCAAATTGACTAAAAAAATCATCTACATGTTCTCAGAAATTCAAATCTGACTTTAGATTTGACATTTGACCTTCAATGACCTTCTCAATGTCAAAAAAGGTCAAAAGGGTATTTTTTCATCTTGCTTCAAATTGACTAAATTTTTTTTCAAAATCATCTACATGTTCTCAGAAATTCAAATATGACTTTAGATTTGACTTTAGATTTGACATTTGACCTTCAATGACCTTCTCAAGGTCTAAAAAGGTCAAAAAGGTCTTTTTTCAACTTGCTTCAAATTGACTAATTTTTTTTTTCAAAATCATCTACATGTTCTCAGAAATTCAAATCTGACTTTAGATTTGACATTTGACCTTTAATGACCTTCTCAAGGTCAAAAAAGGTCTACATCTTTTCAGAAGTTCAAATTTGACTTTACAAGTTCTCAGAAATTCAAATCTGACTTAATATTGTGAGCAACTAGGTGGTGACATTTTGTCATGTTAATGCCTTGTCTTTGCATACTTTTGATTATTTTAAATTATTTGTTTGTCATTTTACTTTATTTATATGTCACCACTACAAAGTTGTGACATATTGTTATAGCTACCTTTTGTTGTGACTGAGATTAGGTGTTCGTGTCTGTACAAGTTGTTATTACACTTTGTAACCATTTGCATGTTGTCATCTTTTGTCATGCTTTATTCATACTTGCAGACTAAACGCATGCGGGAGATCCCCACCCAGGCTATGGACCAAGTGAGAGTTGAGCTGGAATATATTCAGGAAACAGTTTCGTATTTGGCAGAGGTGGCTCTGACCAGTAAAGCAGCAGAAATGGTGGTAGGTGATATATACTCATTTCATTCTTGTTAGTATTTAAGCATCCTTTCATATAAGTGGATCAAGGTACCATTCCCCCAATATAGTTTAATATCTTTAAATACTGTATAAGCGGTAATTACTGTATAAGTGGTGATTTTGCCCAATACTGTATAAGTGGTAAATACTGTATAAGTGGTAATTTTGCCTGTTGCCTAATTTCTGCCAGGTTTGGAAAATTAAATGTCGGAAATATTATGTTCATAATTAAACCAATGGGAAGTTTCATTTGGCAAATTAACCACTCGGATTAAATACCAATTATACAATAAATGCTATGTATGGTGTAGTCAGTGCAATACACAGTTCAACAGTTGTTTGATGGAAAGCCTTACTGCAAGTAATATCTATATTGAGCAATCTTAAAGAAATCAAGTCCCATTGATTTACATTTAAATGAATATTCCCTGTTAAACTCCTATAAGGAAGAGTTTTGGCGATTTACAGGATTTAGAGTATGATCATCGACTAGTTGACTGTCAATACTACATATGATATCCCTGGAGCACAATAAACTGAGACTACAGGTTTAGGTTTATAATAGAGGCACAAAGAATAGACACTGATCAAATTGATAATATTTTTTCAGATATTTCCCAGCTTTTATACTTTAGTTATGGCCCCTACAAGTTATGGCCCCTACATTGTCTTTCAAACATGAATTATCTTTAACTGGCGGCACATGCTTTTTTGTTTTTGCCTTTTCTCTTAAAAAGCAAGGCAATGTCCAGTCGAAAGAAAACTCCTGAAAGTCAAAGTCTAAAACTAGTTTACAAGAAAAAGTCTTTGGCCTGTTTTCTGGATGATCTTGTAGACATAATAAAAAGACAATTAACATACAACCCATCCTTGTTATTACATTTTTACACACTTTAGTAGAATAGTTCAATAGTTCTTTATATTCAGGAGTACTCTTCTCATATTCTAAGGGTGTTACACATTATGACTATTTGCACCACTTGCCTGTTTTGGCATTTTAGTCCTTGTTTAGTAGCCTTGCATCAAGTCACAGGTTCCACTACACCATGCAAGAGATTTGGAACAAAGGGTATTGATGCAAGACTAAACTGGACATATTAATCTGACCTCTATCATGATTTCAACCTAATATCTGTCATTAGGTTAACCTGACTTATATCATGAGATTAACCTGAAATATGTCATTAGATTAACCTGACCACTATCATGAGGTTAACCTGACTACTATAATGAGGTTAACCTGACTTATATCATGAGGTCAACCTAACATCTGTCATTAGGTTGACCTGGCTTCCATCCTGAGACTAATCTAACCAATGACTTCTATCATGTGGGTCGCATGACTTACTATACGATGATGTGGTGTTATTTACACAGAATCCAACGTCGTTGGCTGCTTTATGGATACTACCATACTACGCATAAATTCAGTTTGTTTTGAAATATTACCTAACTTCATCCGTGCACACCTAACCTTTTGCATCTAACCCAACTTGCTTGCTGAATGAACAAGGTAATTACAATACTTTCTTATACTATGTAACTAATTAAGAACTATATTACAAAACCTCATATTCTCCTTAAAGAAATTTATCCTTTACCTAACATAGATTAAGTGTCTAAAGTCTTGGCTATTTTTTATATTTTCTGTTTTTTTAGGTTTTAGTGTTACTTAAGGATTTAAGCCCCAGATTCAATATACATGTATTGTAGATGATTTAAACCACACATGTCTTGTATCAAGACTTTGAATGAGGCAAGAAGCCAAAATTCATTGAGTCTATGTGCTTAAATTCTTTTCATACACTTTTTGGAAGTGTTTTACAATGTTAAACCTTTTTGCCAATTTTACCTGCATTAGCACATCCCTTGCAATTCCCTATGATATTATTTATAGGTTTTCACTCAACTGCAGACTTGAAATTATGAAATAATCAATTTCACTAAATCTCAAGAATAGAGATGTATTTTGTGTTGTGAAATTCAAAATGCATATTATTATTAATAATGCTGTGATCTGATTGGATGGAATTTGATATATCATGCCTTACTATCTGTCAATACTTATCAAGCAAACTAAAGTTAATGGCTTCTGAATGTGTATATAAAAGTTCAAGAGTTATAACTTCTGTGAACAGTATAGTGACCAGAAATTATGTCTCAGTAAAATGAGGTCACACTGCCTTAGCTTTTGTTCCTGATTTTTTATGTTTCTGGCTTAGCTTTTATATTCTGATATTTTTGCTCTCAATAATTTTACCAGTTACTTGGATTGACTGGAATTAATAAACAAATTTTTGTTTTCGTAATATTTGAATGTGGAAAAATTAAACATATGAGATAACCAGGGGTTTCACTGAAATTTCTCACAACATGCTAAATAAATTAAAACAACAGGCAAAATTAATGGTAATCAGAAATTTAACATGGAAAAGTTGAAAAGTCCCTATAAACAACAGGCAATTTTGTGAAAACAACCAGTGAAAATTGCCTGTTGCCTGCTGCTCATGAAACCCTGATAACACTATTTCCTCATATCTCAAAAACTCATTTCTGACTGTGAACAAAATTCTAATTTTCGATCATTCTGAAGATTCAGATATTCTGAAAAATGTACAAACAACCAATTTTTAATAATTTCAAACCACTACTATTGATAGTGTTGGTTTTGTGTATTTCCAGTTGTTTGACTTCAAGTTCAACTCTGCTCTCTCAGTACTGATAAAACAAGGAGAAAATCTCAATTTTGGGACTTATATTGGGCTCTCTATGCATGCTAACTTGCAACTGGAACATTTGACATTCAAAGCTCCTGAATCTGTAGATAATGAAGAGAAAGTCTTGGCAATACAATATGAAGCAGAAACATAAATATCAGGAGCAAAAATCTCATTTTAGACCACTCTTGGTGAACAATATAAGACACATTCCATATTTATTAAATAACCAGGAATTTAACATGACAGCATGCCAGTATCTCCTGTTGGACAATTTGATACTATGATCTCTAATAACTAATAAGTGTATGTTCTAAATGTAGGGTTTGAGGAAACAAGCATGCATGACTGAGAATCTTGAAGAAGCAGAAAACGAGGATTGTGATGAAATTGACAACAACTCAAAAGAAGATGAGGACCATAACCCAGAGATGGATGACATCACAGAGCATGTTCCAATGGAAACAACAAAATCTGTTGATGGGAAAATAGTTGAAATAGCCAGGAATTTAGATGTTCATTATCCCATTGGTTTGAAAACATACCAATATCTGCTGTTGGACAATAAGATAAAATGATCTTTAATAAATGTATGTTCTACCTGTAGGGTTTAAAGAAGAAGGCACGCATGACTGAGAATGTCGAAGAAGCAGAAGATGGGGAAGGTGATGAGAATGACTATAACTCGGAAGAAGATGAGGGCCATGACCCAGAGATGGATGACATCATAGAGCATGTTCCCATGGAAACAACAAAATCTGCATATGGAAAAACAGTTGAATTTAGTGGAAATGAAGAGGAGGCAGTAGGCCAGGAATCTACAAATTAATCAACAAACTTATTCTTATTTAATAAGAAATATAAAGAAGACAATGAAGTCTTATCAGTTTATTCACACTCTTATATGGACAACATTTAAAACAGCTTTGCACATAATATTTTCCTAATAAAAAATTGATAGCTTCTATATGGACCTCTTCAGGGTGACCTGTAAAGTATATACCACGTAATACCAGTACCATTGTCGCTATGTGCCATAATCGCGCATCGATGCATCGGCAATCGCGATGTACATCGAGAAAAAGTCAAATAAATAATAGAACGCTGGTGCATCTGTGGAACTTCCGGTAACAGTGAAGTGAAAGTTAAGTAAAAAAAATTCGATTAATGGTTCATTTCGACTAGCTTAACAGTTTTAAAGTGAAAGAATGCCAGAGAACATTGGAAAATGAACTTAGACATGAGAAAGGCAAGACATTTGCATCAAGAATGATGATTGTCCGTCAAGAAAGGGTGATGTTTAGCAAATTTAATTTTTTAAAACATCGATGTCTGAAACAAAACATCGTCAGAATCAGGTTTGGCGATGTATATCGCGATGTATCAATTAATCGCGACAACACTAGTTAAAATGAGCATATGACAGTATGAGCCATTAAAATGATACAACTAACAAATATACTATTCGTTCAAGATTTACATTTCCAAATGAATCAGAACTTTTAGACAGAATTGTACATTTTAATCTTGGAGATTCTAGCTTTGTGAAGCTCTGAATAGTAAGCAAAACCTCTATAATTTCATTACTCCGCTAGTAATAGCATGGCACCTATCACAGTACTCGTATACTAATAGTCTGAATCATTGTAAAATGCTTTTTTAAAAATGCTTCAATTGTTTCATACTCCTTTTTACTGTTACTTTCATTAAGCCTTTGTGCTGTATATGTATGTACTGAAATGCCAATTTTGAATAAAGTATTGTGATCATTATTATTTTGCATTTTTAAATATGAATTTAAGTTACGGTATGAATGAATAGGTTTATATATTGAACGCCACAATTGAATTTACATGCAATCTTAGGTCTTGTAAACTTGTTCAAAAATAAGGTCAGATAAGCTTTACGCATTACCGTGACAGAAATTATTATGTCTTGATTTGACTTGATACTCTGATGGTTCTGCCTGTCGCCAATAGACATGGTAGTCATTTATGTTTCTGGAATTTAGTATAGTTTTCAAGAAGAATAGTTACAACTCCCATGCCCAATACTTTCCCTTAATTTAACCCATATTTGATATCACATGTGTTGGGTTAATAACTCTCACATTACATAACATCATTTAAGGTACAATAATCATATAATTATATACAGTAAAACATGTCTTAGTGAACACCTCTCTCTAGTGAACACCTGTCCCTAGTGGACACCCTTCCTACGCACATAGTCCACTGACTTCTGTATAAATTACCCTCTCTCTAGTGAACACCTACCCACAGTGAACGTTTTTTCTTGGCAAAAAAATGTTCACTATATACAAGTTTTACTGTACATGTATTCAGCTGATCTTTCCACATGTACAAGATGGCTAACATAACTAGAAGACCCGAAAGGGTACCAGAGATTACCGAAAACAATATATGAGCACAATCATTATATGAATAACACAACAACATGATTTTGACTTGCATATTTCATCAATGAGTTGAGATCAGTTATGTCTGTGAGTGAATGTAGCAATTGATTTATGCTAATTAATGGAGAGTTGATCATAATAATATCAAGAAATATCATGATCAAATATATATTTTATCTCTATTATTTCCAAAATTTGTTTTTCCACGTTATTGGTTATTTCGTGCATATGGGTAATATCAACTTCTTGGTGATGACATAATAAACTGACATATTTCAGCCACCAGTTTTATGTCACCACCTAGTGTCTCCATTTTTTTGTGGATGTTGTTCACCAGTCTGCCGTTGGTGTCTAATAAATGGCAGGTGGTGAAATTTTCATGTAAATGCCTTGTTTGTGACTTCATGCAGTGTCCACATTTGGTGCTTGGTGTCTATCACAAATTGCTTTAGAATCATTTGTAATAAACTACTAGATAGTAACAATGTGATGACATCTAATGTCATATTAATGCATTATTGAGGTTTGAAATATGAAATTATTTATATCAATGCTGCCATTTCACGATATCATACTCAAGTAAAAAAAACAACCAGATAAGTATACATGTATAATATGATTATACAACTCTTATATTTTATCATCAATAAGTCATACAATTGTCAAGCCCAGTTTATTAATATAATATACCTGTACATCTGAAAGATAACTACATTCTACCCAAAATTTAATTTAATTTGGCCACACAAAAATTATTCAATCTGTGATTACCTTGTGGTCTCATTGCTTGATATTGTTATATATTCCATTTTGACAGAAATATATAAAGAATATCATTTGTGTTGTGCTCAAGATATTTATGATTTACTGAACACATTTACATGAACACATACTTCACTCTAATGTATCAATTAGTAATAAAAAATTGTCCTGATACGAGAGTATGCTTCATACATGTTATTCAGTTATTCCCAGTGGGTCAAAATGTGCTAATCAGAGATCACAGTCTGCATGCAGAAAACCCCATCTGTGGGATTGGTGGTTGGTAACCGAACACCATGGTATGTTTTACTACAATGGTTCATGGTGGATTCATCAGTTATTTTGAAATTGTATACCTTTAATTTCACCAAATTAACAAGTGGTGACTAATCTCCAACTTTCTGTAACACATGGCATGCTTTACTCCAATGGTTCATGGTGGATTCATCAAATATTTTGTAATTGTATACCTTAATGAAGCTATCATAATGTCCCTTCGGAGAGTGGTAATATTCAATGTTTGTCTTATGGGATGTTCAGGTTAGATTATCTTTGAACCTGCATTTATCCCTTCATCCAATGTTTGATTCATACCAGTAACATTCTCAAATAAAGGCTGGTCTCAGATGTGTTATTTTCCTTAGTACAGAGTCTTTGTGCTTCAAAATTAATTCCTAAGATAGTATAGGCCTACATGTATTGGTGATATATTTCAAGTTTCTTTTCAATATTTCAGGCAGTTACTCATTTGATATCTATCAATCCCATTCAAATTGAATGTCAGCGTCAGTTTACTCCAATGTAATCCATAATCCACTATATTTTATTATATGACTGTCTATGAAAGTCTTGATATCTCTAATTAGCTGAGTTGAGTTTTACTTTTATTGCTTCATGGAATTTTTTCTCATCTTCTGAATTCTTGAATATAAGGTTATTGCTTTCATCAATATCAGCGTAAATCTTAGTCCCATCTGTATCTATAATCATGAACTGGTTCCCGGCCCCACTGATAATCGGTTCTTTTTGTTGTTTTTGTGTCTGATGATGAATTGTTTTATGTACCTTCTTTGGATGTGGTCTTGCAACATTGCTTTTGCGTGCACTCTCAATTGACTCAGGCCTTGTTAGAATCTTGAAGAATATGAAAACTGCCATGATTGTGAGTAAAATCACGACAATATTGTAAGAAGCCATGATACAGACGTTTAGTCCAATTATAAGTATTTTAGCAGACAACTTATTGTCACTACTTGATCAGTATGGGTGAATCTCTCTATTGCATGTACATGCACCTGTATCAACAGTTCTCTAGAATAAGGCTTGGGGAAATAGATAAATGTTTCACATATTATCCAACATTTATTCCAATGAGTAAAAATAAACGAGGATTAAGATACAGGAGGATTACCAGATTTATAGCTGAGAATAACAGGATAAATACTGATTTTTTGATTCTGAAAATACTGAAATTTTCAGGAAATCTCGTATATCTTGTCTAAATCTAAATATTTGAATATTTTTTTGCTTAAGATATTGTGAGTTGATTATGTCTCTTCGAGGGAGGCAAAAGAAGCCTCAGCAAATTAGAATGAGGTACTTTGCCTCAGTTTGAAAGCCCAAAACAAGCACCCTGAGAGAGCCTCTTTCACCTGTCAACATAAAATGATAGTCTCACCCTTATACTAAAACAAAATACTCTGAAACATAAGTTAAATTATTGTAGCCTATTGCCACATGTACAGTTTGATATATGTTTGTGTCTATTGTCATAGACTGTCATTTGTATAAAAAACGACCATTATAAAATTAACAAAGTAGATCAATAAATTATATCTAGCAAGCCAGCAATTTTTAAAATCTCAATTATGACAGTCATTGTTTCCTGTCTATTTTATTTAAGTACATGCGTGAAATACAAAAATTCCATGTTTTAATCAAGCATTGAACCTGCTGCGAAATACATATGGGCATTAATTTATTTATTTATTTACGGAAGTTTTGTCAATAAATAAAAACAAACAATTATTTTTATGTTGCTGTGTGTGCTTTAAGTTCCATTGGTACATTTGAGAGTTGCATATAACTATTTCAGAAATAATTATTTAAATCAAACAAAATATTACCTTTGCCCTAATCTATAATATTTTGAAAGAGAGATTTAAACCTGTCTCACCTGCAGGAATCAAGAAGTTAATGTGACTACTTAATTAGGTGACTACTTGATTGTGTGACTACTTAATTACATGACTATATGTGACTACTAAATTATGTGACTATTATGTGACCACTTGATTATGGTTTCTTCACCTGTCATTACACTGCAACATTGTACAATGGATAGATGGTTTGCTGTCTCGATGAATTCATTTGAATTTCCTTATAATCTAGTAATGTTGATAATATCCCTAATTTTTCATTTATTTTTTTAATCTGACATGTTAAATGTGTCAAAATTATGTCACCATCAAAAGTGGCGACATATTGTTATAGTCTCCAACTTTTTTTGTGGTTAGTGTAAGGTATTCGGTAGTGATGGTCGTTGTATGCAACAAATAGCAGGTGGTGACATTTTGCATGTCAATGCCTTCTTGGGTCTAGAATTATTGTTATAAATTATACAGCTACATACAAATTATATTAATTTCCATTTGTATTTCAGCTTCCTGAGATTGATGTCGGTGACTGGTCAGAGAATCTGGAACAGGCAGATATAGAGTGCTTTGGGTTCATGCCTAGCAACAGGTCTCTTGGCAACAAGGAAAATGACAACTAGTGACAGATAGTCAAAAATGCTCTAATCCACAACCTAAGCTCTTCAGAACTCAAGCACAAAATCAAATTGACTTGCAATAGGATCTAAGATTGGAAGATTTGAGATCTCTACTTTTATCAATGTTTGAGACATTTTTTCATAAACATTTTGAATGGATGTTGTTTAGTACATGCACAATATGGAGTTAGTAAAATGTCTCATGCCTGTAGGAAAGACAGTTTACAGAAAAATCTGTCTTATCTGAATGCCACTGGAATTGGTCAAAATTGTTCACATTCGCAGGTGTTCACATTTCAAGGTTTATGTGAATCAATGGGAGATAACAATTCGGACTGAGAAAAGTGTTCACATTTCAAGTCTTCTAAACATGATAGTCAATTGAAGAATACAAAACTGGGACAGAGAAAAAGTATCACATTTAGAGGTGTTCATATGAGAGAGATGTTCGAATAAACAGGTTTTACTCTACAAACTGTTTAACTCGATAGTTTTTAGTACGTGTATAACTGGATTTCTAGTATAATATTATATTTCTAGTAGTGGCTGTGTGCAATCAGAATTAACATATTGATTGTGTGCAATCCACAAACGTGATTATTGATATACTCTGTATCTGTGTTATTGTTTATATGTCTAGTCATACATTATATTTATTACATTTTTGATTATTTATTCAGCGGAAAAAATATTGTATTGTGTAGAAGTCATAACTCTTGATTGAGAAATGTTTGAAGCAGATGATGAATCCTTTCATGACGTCAAAGAGACAATCCTTTACTTGTTTTAATGATTTAAATCAGATTCAAACATGACCATGCTCTTATTGAATTTCTCAACCAATCAGAATACAACATAGCCAATATAGAACATACTCTATTTCTCCATAGATGCACGACTGTGCTGTATTTGATCTGCTTCCAGGAAACTATGTACATGTATTGTATTATGTTGTATTATGATGACACACTTTGGAACAGCGAAAATGGCAGCAAGTTTGGTTATTTCATTTCAGCACGAGTTGGACAGAATGTCAAATTATTAACAAATTATTTATTCCTTAATTTTAATGATAAAATGTGAATATTGATATGCACTGTATCTATGTTTAGTTATTGTTTATATATGTCTTGTTTATTATATTTATTATATATTTGACTAGTCTATTTATCCAGCTGAAAAAATATTGTATGTGTGTAGAAGTCATAAATCAGGATAAACAAATATTTCATCTAATTGATGGTATGGTGTTTTTTAATTAAAGAGACAGTCCTATACTTGTATTATTGATTTAATCTGATTCATGGTGTTCTATTTTGCATTATTATGTGTATTCAATAAAATATTGGGATCATGGTCTGCAAGTATATCAAGTTTTTTCCTAAAGCACAACACTATACACAACCTGACATACTACTCCGTAACGTTAAGATCATGAAACATATATTTGTCAACCACAAATGGTGTGAGTAGAATTTTATTCATATTGGAGATTGGTAAAATGTAATATTAGAATTGGTTTGTTAAAAGATTTCAGTCGATTTGTCAAATTGTTTTACTTCTACGAAATAAAATCATCATGATAACATAACACCTGTCTCATTAAGTATCTTCTGGTGTGATGTTATTACAATGTTTTTGTTACATAGAAGTAAAATAGTTTGACAAATGGACTGAAATCTTTAAACAAACCTTTCTAAATGATCTTAAAAACTTACCAAACCTCCATAGATGTACATGTATCATGATCTTAACGTTACGGAGTAGTATGTTTGGGTTGTGTTAAACACCAGTGGTACAGTAGTAATTTTCATATGTTGTAAAATCTGAATTTTAAGAAAATTAGTCTAAGTATAATAATGTTGTGAGCAAACATATTTTAATATTTTCACAAACTTCTAAGAAAGTTACTCACATTTCCAAACAAATGATGAGCCAAAACTGTCCATATTTTTATCATCATTATACCTAATACTGTATGCGGGAAACTATATTTACTGTATTACATGTATGGCTACATGAAGAATCAAAATAAAAAGTCTTATTTGTGATCCTAAGAATGATGTTCTCGTTTTTTTTATTGAAGGTTGTATTGGAAAATGTTGTTCTTATTGAATCATTTAAAGATAATGCTATGGCAATATGTACTTATGTAGGACAGTTGCCGTTAAATTTTTGGCATATTTTAAAACACATCCATCCATAGTTTCTGTTTTAGGCCATTGATCTTTGATTAGGTTTCTATTTATCTCACCAGAGTACTAAATCTTCCTATGGTCTTTAGGATAGCTCTGGATACCTTTCTAATCTCCTAGCATTCGTTCAGTGCAATCGTGTTCCCTAAGGAAGGCAACAAATGAAATGATTTTGAGAATTATAACATATTCCATTCTTGACTGGCTTTATGAACTTATCAAAATGCCATAATTTATAGAAGAATATTTGGTAATGATATCAAAAATTAGACTCTTTCTATCTTGAGATCTCAAATCTTTCATCGCTACTTTTCCAAGCGCTATTTTGTTGTCGTCTTGATGGGCGACTGTGTATGTCTGGGCAGGGGTGTGAGCTAGCACGACATAAACCGTGTCATCAAAATTTTGGATATGCAGGGTAAATTAGTTCAAGACCGTTTTGAATTTCTTGATACTTAACAAGAAAAACTACACAGAAAAATAAATTTTTATTTTGACAAATAAGCTATTTTGTATTTATTTGAGCAAAATAGGCCCACAAAAAATCTCAAGTTTAAGAAGGATACTAATCTGCAATTGCCCCATCGCAGTCAGAAAGGGAGGAGAGTTTTATATACTATATGTATAGTATAGTACAATGTAGTACATATTTGCCATTTTTCACGTTCAAATGGTGTACTGAACATGAGGTCAAAAAGCATCATTAAGTTCAAATCACACAAGCAATTGTAATTTTACATAACAATATGTTTTACTATAATAAGCAGGCTGTACAATTATACATGTTCAGCAATAATCGATAACAGTATGCAATATTTAACAGGTTATTCTCCTGCATTAAGGACACTACCTTTATTAACAGTCATCCTTATAAAGATAAACATAGGCCTGGGAACATGTATAATTAATGCAAAACCAGTTTGTCCAAACTATCTGCATATAAAAATTTCTAAGGCGACAGTCTGTCATCTCATATTGGACAAACTGATTTTGCATTAATTATACATGTTCCTGGGCCTATAAGGATAAATATATAAATATAAGGGTGCAGAAATTCAACAAATCAACTACACCGAATTCAATACAATCAATGTACTAATAATATAATAGTACACCATTCAATTATATTCAAGTAAAATATAGAAATCTTTGTAGAAAGTCTGTATTTCATAAGTTGGCAACATCTTTCGAGGCCCTTATATTTTTTCTGTATTATTTGAGAAACTATAACAATTTCAATAATTCAATAACATTTTGATCCAATGATATATGGCATACAAAGCAATGGCATTCCAACAGAACATTATCAAAGGTAAAACTGACTGCATAAAATTTGTCAGAAACCTATAATGATCCAACATATAGTTGATGAAACAATAGTTATTCAGAATGCAGAAAAATGGCATTTCTGATTTAAATCTTAGTTTTTGGACATTTAGAAACTTAAATCTTCAATTAGTTTCATGCAATATGATTAAATATCTCAAATTTTTGGATGAAAAATTTGGAATGGGAAAGAGCCCATTGACAGTATTTTTATGCTCAATATTCCTCCAATGCATGTAAAGTTTGAAAATATGTTTTATCTATGTTTTTTTTCTAACTTCAGTGACTGAAACACTTGTCAATGATTGTTTTTATTGGTTGCTTATATCCTTGTTTTTCAAAAATGCATTTTGAAGCAGATTATTTTGAACATCACTGAAAAGAATTCATTAAATTGAGTTCAAATTATACCAACAATAAAATGACATTTAATTTTAATTAATGTAAATCTCAAAATGTTATGTAACAAGGTAACGCCATGCAACTTAGTTGACATTGTTTTCAACATGAATCTTTTCTAAATATCTAAATATAAGTCGAAGTGATTTAAAATCTACATAGGGCCTTTAAAGTATTACTACTGTGAAGGGGACCGATAGCTCTTTTTCATCACAGCAAAATCAGACTGGTGTAAACTTTCAGATTCTGGCTCTGAAATTTCAAGTACTAAGTCACCTGGTAAATCGTCTAAATCAGTTCCACTCTCCTCATGCTCAGTAGAGTCACGACGTGTATCATCAGCAGCTTTTATGTGATCAAGGTTTTTGGTGACAACCCACCTGTCTATTTTTTTTATGGTCTGTTCCGAACTGCTTACAATTTCAGAGTCATATTGTGTTAGTTCCTCTTTGCGCTCCTTGCTAGGATTAATTGTTTGTTCATTATTAGTAGTAGAGTCTGGACTGGAATGACATTCATTGTCAAGACTCGGTTTATGTACTCGTTGAACATTCAGCATTTCATTTGAACTGCCTTCAGTTACGTTTTTATTTCCATTAATTTTCATATTTGCTCCAGTTTTGTTTTGTATATTTGGGGTATTTGCTGCTAGTTTATCATTGTGAGCTTCATGTCTTGTATTCATTTTAGATTTATTATCATCCTCTTTAGATTCAGCAGTCCTTCTCTCCAAACACTGAGGTTCAATGCTTGATGAATTCAATTTTCGATCTATGACAGTTGGGTCTACCAAAGCTAACTCTGCATGTGGTTTTACTGTACTTAAATCTATGGTTGCACTTGCCGCAGTCAAATCCATTGTATGATTTCTTTTTATCAAATCAGAAACATTTGAATCAGTTGTTTTTATTGTTGGTGTTGAATCAGACGTAGCAACTGTGTTAGTGGTATCCTTTTTAGTTAAATCCTTTGAATGACCTTGCTCCATCGAATGTTTACTCAGATCTGGCACATTTAAACTTGTACCATCATTCAGTTTTGATAAGTTTGTTGAACTAACCTGATTTGTTGAATTCATAGTACTACTCATTGTAGTTACATTTTTTATTTGATTCAATTTAGTCAAATCCATTGTATGGCCTGACTCGGTCAAATTCATTGTACGATTTGATTCAGTTAAATCCATTGTTCGACCTGACTCAGTCAAATCCATTGTACGATCTGATTTAGTCAACTCCATTGTATGACCTGCCTTGGTCAAATCCATTGTACGATCTGACTCAGTCAAATCCATTGTTCGACCTGATTTAGTTAAATTAATTGTACGACCTGACTCAATTAATTCTTTATGCCTAGAGTTCCCATAGTCCTCAGTTAAATCTCTTGTTTTTTTCATAGACAAGTCTTGCGCCACTTCTTGCTCCTGTTTCAACATTTGAAGATTGTGACTGTTTGTGCCTGGTATTTGCTGCAATTGTGCTTGTGTGGCCAATTGGTTTCTGAGGTGTAAAGTCAGTGGATTCATCACAGATAGATTTACATTTGGGTTTTGTGCTGTCATATTGGCACTGCACATCATACCTGAAATAGTATCACAGTTAAAAATAGTGTTTAGCTTTAACACAAAAAATTGTGGTGCAGGATATTATTGGTCAATAGATTATTACATGAGATGGTAATTATAAAGAAATTGAATTGAATTGAATAAACAATCAAAGTCTAATAGATTATCCATAAGCACGAGCAAGATCTAGTAGCATTGCAAAAATATAAATGTCTAACTCGATGATATTAAAACACTTAAATTCTACAATTATTCTGTAATTGGTTGGCCAGTGAGCTGTACATATAAATATTATACAAAAAATAAAAATAGAGTAATATAATTATATGAATATTGTCAAATTTAAATATTATACTATGAAATATATTACATGTACCTGCAGCTTGTTGTGCCTTGATTGATTTAATATGAGCAGCAGTGGCAGCTTGTAATTTCTCAACTTCAGAACCTTTATCCTCATCTGGTGTCAATGGCTCAGTTTTTACACTTACATTTCCAACCTTAACCCCATCCTCTTGAAATTTAGGGTCCATAGAGGCAGTTGTTGATTTGGATGTTAAAGTACTTGATGGTGTCATCGTAATATTTGACTCTGATGTCAGTGTAAAGGGTTGTTCTTGTTGTTTTGTGAGTGCTTTCTTAATTGTTTCGGCAACAGCTGGTGGAATTTGTCCCTGTTGCATCATTGCTAATATTGCTTGCATATTCCCTGCTGAGATTACAGGCAGTCTTAGTGGAGGTATCGCATTCCCAGAATTGGTAGCTGGGATGGGAAGTTTAGCTGTTGCTGCTGGTCCCATTCCACCTCCTCTCTGAAGATATGCTGCTAGGCCTTGTACAATGTTTTCGTTGCCTTGGTGCGGTTGAGAAAGTGGCAATGACATATTTTCATTTTGAGATAATCGATCCCGTATATTCTTAGAAACCTTATCCTTAGAAGCATTTTTAACCTTATCTTTTTTCCGTTTTGCTCTCTGCTTTTTAGCTCCCTCTTTAATTGGTTTACCATCTTCGGCATTATCAACGCCAGGTGTTTCGTCTCTACTTGTGCTCGTGATGTCACTTGTTGGGGATTCATCGATTCTAAGGCTTCGTTCTGATATATCACTCATGGCTGGTGATGACCTGGCACTAGAAGATGCTTTAGGTTTGATAGGCACTTCTTTCTGCTCTTGTGGTTTGATAGCCATGCTGAGTAAGGGATACGAAGACATCTTGTTCACCAGGAAATTAATCCTTGGGGCGATCTGGACCTGGATTGGAGCTGGCTTCATGCGAACCCCAGGGTTGCTAGGGGCGCTGGAGCCTGTTGCTTGAGAGGGAGAGTGCCACAATGGTTGGACAGGGCTAGTGGGTTTCTGCATTGCTTCAAATGCCTGAAAAAGGAAATTAGATTGTTCATGTATTATAATATTATCACAAATTGCTCTCATCACATGCAATAATTAAACTTGTGTTAAATAATCTTATACATGTACATGTACTGTATATCTAAAATATGAATCAAAATAATCAAATACATGGTGTATATTTCAATCATTCCATTGATCAAAATCAAAATAATTCAAGTAATTATCTCAATTAATATTCGTATAATTCACTTACTGGTTTCGTTTTGGCTAAAGAGAGACAAGAGTCTCCAGAATGGTTTTTAACGTAGGGATCTGCCCCATACTTCATTAACATCTGTATAAGGTTAGAGAAACCATGCCCACTAGCGCAATGGAGAGGCGTGTTCCCTGAGTAATTCTGCAGGTTGACGTAACATCCCGCCTGAAGCAACATCTCCACTAAATGCTGTTGGTTGGCCTCTACTGCATAGAATATTGGGCTCCTTCCGCTTTTACCATCCTATAATAACAGATGTGTAGAAAGTAAGTTTTATTTAGTGGCGTGAGCCTGGATTTTCTGAAATGAGCTTTGATAGAGTTGCCTCGACCAGCAAAGTCAGATCTTACATCTCAAGTAATGATTTCATGAAGTATATACAAATATAAACATGTCCTGTATTTTGCAAAAAAAGATTTAAAATAAATGCCAAATATTGTTGGATTTCTTCCATTTAGCATATATCAGGCCCGTAGATGGGGGAGCCAGAAAGTCTTCCAAACCATGCAGTTTTTCACCAATTTGAGCACTTTTTGCATGAATTTTTAGCTAAAAGTGTTAAAAGCATTGAGATAATATCTTCTGAGAAAAGAAATAGATATTCTTTCTATATTTTTTCCTAAATAAGTCAATTATTTTTTAGCCGTGCCTTCTAAAAATGGGCTTGAATTTTTTCTTGTTTCTTATTGGGTCCTCCCCTAATTATAAATAGATTTCCAGATTTGTGAAACAGAAACAATGTTTAATTGTTGTATGCTTAACATTGTTAAAACAGCAAGGTCCATCATTCATTTTTAAGACAATTTAAACATTAAGTAAACAACATCCTATTTACACTAAAATGTCATGACCTTTAAGTTTCTAAAGGTCATTCTGACATAGGGGAATTTTTTGAAAATTCATGACTCATAGCTCTACTGTATCCACGTATAAATAAAGTGCAGTGACTTGCACATTAAGTTGAACACGTCACATTCCATTCATAAACTGACACCAACAAACATTTTACTCAACAAACAATTTAACGTATCAAAGTAACGTCATGAAATGAGGTCAGAATTTATTTTTCTTTGAGAAATGATCTCATTTGAGGTTTAATTGAATGAAATATTTAGAACTAGGCTCTTGTTGGGAAATGCACAAAATTGTTTTGATATGTTTATTTCAGAGTTGTTGACAGTCATCACTGTTTACTCTGCAAAACTGTCACATGCTCCACCAGCTGCTAGATTCTGACTCTAAAGTTACAAAAGTTCATTTGTTGATTTTATGACCAAACTAATAATATTTAGTTGGTAAAAATTAATTTCGTGCAGTTTTTGAGGCTGAAATTGATGATTGTTAAAATATGGTATTAATATAGGTATTTTGAGCTAAAAAGGAAAAATCATAGTCATACTATGTATCCATTCATAGAAAACTATTACACCAGGATGAAAAATAGTCAAATTCATTGCCTCCCTTTAAAACTATCAATTTGAAAGTTAAGTCATATCATCAGCCACAATTTTTCGAATACGAATAATCCAGTTAAGATATTAACAGCCAAATCATTTGTAGGAGCAGTTGCACAACATAAAATATGTTTAATTCTCCAGCCATGCTTGCTTAAAGAATATTGTTTTTATGCAACTTTCTACTGAAAATAGAAACTTATCTCAAAACTAATGTTCTTTCCAAGATCAACCAAAACAAATTGAATCTTTACATTCAGAAGCCAAAATAATATAATTCAAAACTACTGGAACATGTGAGCTCATGAAAATGTTCTTAAAAAGGTTACAGATGTGAAATGTTATGTTATACTTAGATTTCAATAAACAAACATCGAAGACCTAAATAAAGACTAGGTCAAAATACAATGTTCCATTTTTTGTTTGGTGGAGGAGGGCACTAAAGCCCCATAAAATTAAACTATGTCATCTTTTAACTCTGATAATAAAATACCCCTGCATCACATAATCTAGAAAAATGCTCATTTAAGAGGTGAATCTCTTGCCTTTTAATTTTCTTAATTAATTGTCTATTACCCAATATATCAAAAAACTTCTTAAGCTGCTTGTTTTTAGAAAAATGGATAAGAATCTATCAGTAATGCAAGTTATAATGCTAAAATTTTCTTTATTGTGAATAATTATCTAGAAATTTACGCAATCATGAACCCAGGCAGCTTGTATTTAATCAGGGCCACTTTTATAAAACACTGTTCTTGTGAGGAAAATTGGTACATGTACAGGGTGGGCAAATAAAAATGGTACACCCACATATATTCTATTTAAAAGAGTATATTCAAACCTTTCATGAAAATTAATGTGTACAAAGTTTAAACATTTGTGGATGTATTCATAAATTCAATCTTATGAATGCTGTAAAGTGTACCATTTTAATTGCCTACTCTGTATTTTTACCAAAGCCATCAGAAATAACTAAGCACAAGGTACACTTGTTAAAATGATGTATCATGTTCAAGTTGGAGAAACGAAACTAACTCTTAAAGCGGTCAAGTCTGGGCTAGAATCAAAACTGAAAGAGATTTAGTATCAATTCTGAGAATTTGCTTTTTTATGGATTCTCACTAGAGAGTTGACGTTGTACAAGAGGCAGCTGCTGGAGATATATTAGAATGCAGAACAGATACAAGATACCTGTATAAACAATTTTTGAGATATTAATGTTTTTTTATTAACCTAATTCCTTTATTCACCTAATTTCATACTAAAAATCCATTTAAATTCCATTTTACAATCCATGCTTTATCAGGGGTTTCATTTGCAGCAGGCAACAGGTGATTTTCACAGGTTGTTTTCACAAAAACCACCTGATGTTTTTAGGGACTTTTCCATGTTAACTTTATGATTTCCATTAATTTTGCCTGTTGTTTTCATTTATTTAGCCTGTTGTGAGAAATTCTAGTGAAACCCCTGTATATATACTGGTATTGAGACCCTGATTTTTTTATCATAAATCAGAAGAGAGAACTTCCCTTAAAAAGTATCTTTTGTTTATGATTGTATTTTGCCAAGCTTGGAAAGATATGATTTCAAGGTATTTCACCAATTTGTATTTCAAAGAAGTCACGCATGATGTGTAAAGCAACTTACCACAACGTTTACGTTGGCTCCAGCTTTAATGAGTCTGCGCACAATGTGACCACTACTCGTCTCTATTGCAAGGTGGAGAGGGGTGCGACCTGAAATAAATAAAGCATACAAAAAGTAAACAATGAACTTACATACAATATCTGTACAGTGTATATACTTCCATGCAGCTGTATAATAATTTAAAGATTAGAAATCGATAATATTCAATATTTTGTACGGTGATCTCCCATGGTTTTTTTCTCAGGTGGGTGCAAAATTCTCATTTTTACAATTCAGACCAAAATTGGTCAAAAAGTGCCAATATACCATGATTTTTCTCATTTTCAAGTGGGTGCAAATGATTTTTCAGATGGGTGCAAGCCTATTTTCAAAATCTCAGGTGAGTTCTGCGCCCACTTGCTTTAATGCTAGGGAGATCACAGATATATCTAATAAAGTACATATATTACTCATAATATCAAATACAAATCAGAACATTTTGGGCCCTTATCTTTCCTTTTCATGTCTATTTTTTAAAAATCCCAAAAGTGCATACTGTATTTGATGAAAACTAAAAATTTTTACAAAAATGTTTGAGATTGAAGGGAATCTATTGATAGATCGACTTTTTCAGAAAGTTACTCTCATCGTTAATCTTTCGTTATTGCACCTTTAAAATAAAGACATTTTCATTTGCTTTAAGGCACGTAAACTACAAGCTCTAACAGAAGTAAACTGAAGTGTAATAATTATCTTTACATACACACTCACTAAGATAAAATTGTTAGCATTAATATAGAAATAAGAATTACAGATTTCCTTTAATACTTAAAAAAGAACTATTTATGATAACAAAAATGTTAGATTGATTAAAAGGGGACTTTGAAACTTAAAACCTAAAGCCTGCTAGTCATCATTTCAATCTTCAAAATACTTGAATACTATGAATTCAGTATAAAGTACAAACTCTTGAGCAAGTGGTACATTTCATTCAAAAAACAACTAAGTGCACTTAACCTATGACCTCCACACATAAAAAAGAGTAATTCAATTTTGAGAAAAACCAATCCCTAAACTGGGTTGAATTGGCATCAATTGGAGAAACTGACTCGTATTATTGGGTTTACTTCAATGGACTTGGTATTTCCAAGCAGTGAATTCCCACCACAAGCAAAGCTGTTAACAATAAAGTGCTGTGGCATATACATGTATCATACTTGGCGTTTTTTACCAGGTTACAGTGATATTCACGTCAAAATAATAACAGCATGATTTAGGTTCATGAGAGATATCTTGGGGGGAAATATAAATAAAGATGGATAAACCCCATATCTGAAGGTACATATCACATAACTTATTTATTTATCCTAGGACTAGTGATGTTAACAATAAAACATTGATTATAAATTGCCTATTTCTGACTTATTTAAGCTGAGATTTTTAAAGTTGCAATTCATTCATAAATGGAGCAGTAAATACCAATACAAATCATTCATGAATCTGACGCTACACTTTATCGATATCGGACTTGGTAGATTGGGATTATAAAGCTATGGTGGCGGGGGGGGGGGGGGGGGGGGTTACACTAGAATTTCTCACAACAGGCTAAATAAATGAAAACAACAGGCAAAATTAATGGAAATCATAAATTTAACATGGCAAAGTTGATAAGTCCCTAAAAACAACAGGCAATTATGTGAAAACAACTGGTGAAAATCGCCTATGCCTGCTGCTAATGAAACCCCTGCTATGTTTGTGATGCACCAAGGATTGATCATTTTTTAGAGGCACAAAAGTTTATCACAATTGAGATCATATGTTACATGTATGTGCACATGTTCGTAGTTGATTCATTCCTTTATTCCTTGTCCTGAAATGTGAGTTCATCAGAATATATTCCTAGAAAACTGACTAAATATCACACTTGGGTCTGATTTGTGTACACTCATTAATATGTACAATGTTTCCTCAATCAAATCATGATTATATCATAATAATACAGTGAGACCTACATACAATGAACACCAATAGAGCCGTACAAATGTTTTCACTGTAGGTAGGTGTTCATTACAGAGAGGGTAATTTATACAGAAGTCAGTAAGGTATGTGATGAGGAAGGGTGTCTATTAGCGACAGGTGTTCACTAGAGACAGGTGTTCATTAAAAAAAGTTTCACTGCATCATGATTTATCTCTCAATGACAGTTCAATACTATGTAATATAAGATCATCAAAAAGCAGGACAAAGTTGAGATATTTTGACAAAAAACACATAAAATAAGGAGTCAGCATCCAGCTGAGAAAAAAGGATATCATTGTTTAACATGATAAGATTTTGCAGATGGATGGAGTGATAAAGCTTTTCATTTTTCTTATATTCTCAAAAGCTGCTTATTATGTACTAGAAAACAAAACGAAATTTGAATGTTGCACTGACCATTTTTTGTATTAGATTGGGTATGCTAAACATTATATCTAATACAAGAACAGCCTAGCCTAATATTTTTTTAGTCAAAATAAGCATGTAAATCATAAGAATAGGGATAGCTAACACAGTGTTATCATGAGGGTTTTCAAGGGATTCTTCCTCAATTTAAAATGCATAAATACAAATAAATATCCTAAAATTTGTGCATTTTTGTACGTTTGACACTGGTTATCCACTCGATTACGCTGGTTACCGAAACGATTAATTGGTAATCAAGCGGATCACCAGTGATTGAACTCATAGCTAGGTGATTCAATTATCGAAATCGTTGTTCCCTCTTCAAAAGAGGAGACGCAAAACTTTTTCCTTATAAGGTCAAAATATTTCCCATGATGCAGTTCGCGGAGGAACAAAGTTATACTTCCTTGTTTTCCCTCATAGGTTTAACATGGGGATTTTCACACCTATTTTTCAATCGATATATTCGTTCATATTCCCGTACGAGAGTACAGAAAAAATTATGAGAAACGATTGATCTCTTATTAATCTTAATATAACAGCTATTTTTTTCATTGTATTGATTCATGGCGTGGAGAAAACGATGATTGAAAAGTGAGAAAATATTCCGGAAGAGAAGGTCACGTGATCAGTTGACTAGTCGCCATATTGGAAAAAACAATTCCATTCGACTTTCAATACTTTCATGCCAATCTTACCGCACTAGAAACTGCAACATCGATGCAACAACTGAATAAAAGTATTCATCTTCAAATTACATTATAGAGTTACGTTGAAAACCCACAAACAACTGAGCAGTAGACCAAAGAAGACGTGTCGCTATTATCTAGATCAATCTGTTCAGTGGTCCGAAAGCAAATCTATAGTACTCGTTTCCGATTTTTGTTGTTCATTGTACAATTTTTTATTGATTAAACTCGGTATACTGACTATTAAAGCAATGACAAAGAAGAACACTTTCGATGGTAACATTGTTTTATTTAGCGTGCGGGTGTAAAAACAAAATTGCGTAATTAGTTTGATTTAGAACTTTCGGGTCACGCAAATAGCTACGCGAAATGCATAGTGGGAAAATATTGACCAATCAAATTTTGTCCTTTTTGAGTGCTTTTTCAGTGCATATTTGCGAACGTTCTGATTCAAAGGGCGAACAGCGAAAGGGAGAATTGGTTGGTACATGGGATGTGAAATAATTTTGATTACCTTCAAAGTCTTTCTCATTTATGGGGAGGTCATTAGATGTCTCTATAATGGCATCAAGACAGGCAGGGCTTCCTCTACTGACAGCTAAATGTAGTGATGTTTGCCCATAGCGATCAAGCACCCGTATCCCTGCACCATTTTGGATGAGGCATGACACAATCTGTGGCTCTTCTGTCAGTATTGCAAGATGCAATGGAGTCTGAAATATTATATAAGAATAATTATGAAAGTTATTCCTTATAGCATGATTTCTAGCTGAACTGTTTTTAATTGTCTTGTCATGTTTGTATAGAGAAATAATTTCTTTTAAAAAAAGATTTCTACAAGAATTACAGCTATGGGGTATGTTCCCAGGGCCATTGTGCTTATTCCCCAAAACACAAGAGGTATATATATATATTAGGGGACTTTTCCATGTCAAATCACAGAAAATATTGCCCAAACAATATTTTAGCCCTTCATCAAGTAACTGATAATGATTTATGTCTAGAAATATACACCTGTTAGTTTCATAAATACCAAATATATTTATTAAATATTTACCTGTCTTAAGGCATTTTTTCTATCCAATGTCTCTCCCTGCATCTTCATGAGATTGATGAGTTTTAAAACTGCTCTGTGGTTGCCATGAACAACAGCTATGTGGATTGGCCTAGAATTAGATACACAAAATATTTTATCTTTACTCTCCTGGGAATTATTTGGGAGGGGGGATTTTATTTTATTTCCTGATTGAGTTACATGGAAGGTTTCCATAATCGTTTAGTACATTTTACGATTTTTCAAACTTTATTGGTTTTATTATTTAATAAAAAATGTGCTTGACAGATTGACTTGAAAACATGTACATTTGTGGATCTGTACAAATCAATATAAGTCCAAACTCAGTTCAAGGGATAAAAACAAATCGAGCAGAAAAGATATACTGTGCAGATTTGCAGTAAATGTCTATCTTTCAAAATCAGCATTGCCGAAAAGAATGTTCATTGTTCATTTGAGGGTGTACATTTCTTTTTTTGTTGGGGGAGGGTTGTTGCTTATACTGGTCATCATGTATACTTACAAGTCTCCATCTTCATCAGGTGTGATTGCCATATGGCATTCTTTTATCATCATAAGGTTCCTCTTTGGGTCCATCATAAATGACTTCTGTTGGTCAGGTGAAGGGATTTGTGACAGGTCATTTGTATGCGTCATAGTTGCTGTTGTTGGTGTCATGGGCTCTGTAACCATGGCATCAGGCTGTTGAGATAGATCACTATTAGAAACTTTCATACCCCCTGAAATATATACATACATTTCATTAATGAATTTTCTATCATGTTTAATTTAGATGTATCAATGAAAAACAAATATGAATTATGACAATAGTATGTGAAAAACAAAGAAAAACCGATTTACTTATAAATGCATTTTATTTTCATGTACATATATTTATGGAAAATTACCTTGCGATTCATGGACGACAGTATAGAATGGTTGTGATGTGTTATGTGTCGTAACTGCTGGGGTGTTTTGATCCTCAACACCTACTGGGATCATTCCATCTTCTGTGTCACTTTTCGGAGATGAAGATTCTCTTTGCTCAAACACCTTCAATTTGCGTTTTTTAGGTGGTAAAGAACTATTTGTTATAGAGGACTCAGAATTTGGAGAGCTTCCCGGACTGTTTGTTTCAGCTGCAACCTTATTTATATTAGGATGAATTACTGGCACATGTATGAAAGGTGCTTTGGAATAGTTTAACTCTTCTGCTTTACGTTTAAATCCCACACCAGCCACTGAAGGTCTATTCCCATCAGTATCATCATACATTGGTACATCAGATTCATTACTCTCAGTCAAGTTACGTCCATCACTTCCCAGCATACTTGGCCTCAGGGCACTGGGTGGAGGTATATTTACTTTTAGAGTCTTATCAGCTTTCTTGCGTGGAACCTTTGTTTTTCTAGAGACTTCTAGGGGACTTGATACACCTGATGATAGAGACGAGAGAGCATAGGCTGCAACAAGACGGTCTTCTTCTTCCCCCATAGGCTCTGGTGCCGCCTTAGCAGACTTGCTTTTACGCGGCATTGTGTTAAATTGGGCTTATATTCAGGATAGAAACATCACCTATAGGAAAAACAGGTATATTTGTATTGATGATTCAGGAACAACCAGGAAGTTGGTTTCATACAGTTTCATAGGTTATATTTGTAATTAACATATTCATAGAATAAATACTGTAGTATTCATCCTATATACCTGCCCAGGATTTATTTTGAGACTAAAATGCTCAATCTTAAATTATATGCCTAACATAATTTGAAGTTATAAATATCATGCCATGCAAATTGTCTCAGAAAACAATTTTATTGATTCACTATTGTTTTTTACTAATTATTCTGAAATACTAAATCAGTTTGCCTACATGCTTTACAGGGATGAAAAAATTATATTGAGATGCAAATTTTTCAAAGATTTTCTCATGGGCGTTCTTAAAAAGTAATGATTTGTTTAACACTTTTAAAAACACATGGTGTTTCAACACTATTTTAAAGGTTGTACACAACTGTCAAAGTGATTTTCACCCCTTTTCAAAGCCTTAATACAGCACATTGCCGTGTGTGTCATTGGTCTCTACTTTTGTGTGAATATCTTTCATTTCATGTAAAAAAACAGAAATTGATAAAATATTGACAGATTTGAAGCTGTAACAATGACCCCTACTTTTGGCAATATGAAGAATGCTTTGTCCAGTATAATTAAGAAGGGATGTAATAACATTGCCTTTTTGGGCTTATTACTTGAAAGCATTATGCATTTTTAATATCATATATTAATATGACGAATCGATTGCAATATGATAGAATGTTTAGTTAATACCCTAGTTAGAGTTCATTTTGTATATAAATGTAAAATAATTCCAGGAATTCACTAAGTGTTAGGAGGTGTCTACAAATATATTGATGTTATGGGAATGACCATCACATAACATTGGATTTCCACAAAAGCGGGCTACGAGTATTATGTCATCAATATACGTTGGATGGTATGGAGACATTCATTGTGAAATTTGTTTTGGGGGATTAAATTGAAAGTGCATGTATTACATTTGCTCATGGGCTTTCAACAGAAAAGGGATCAAATTGATGGTAATCCTCAAAAGTCGTTTTTTAACGTTTTTGTAAAGCCTGGATAGCTATACACATCATCCTCCTAAGCAGGTGTCTAGAATCCGTACCTCCTTCTTCCCCCTGCTATAAGCAGTTAGCATTTCCCCGATTAAGAACTCCCAATTTGATTGGCTGTCGCAACACTGCGACAGATATCATGTATACGTCATCGGCGCATAATAAGATCACGTGATTCAGTTTCAATCGGGCGCGTCCAACTTGGTTATAGCAGGGGGTAAAAAGAAAGAAGATATTCTGGATTTTGAAGCCCTGTGATCGGAGGATGATACACATGGGCGTAGCGCCTATTACGCAAAATACGCAAAGGCGTACCAAATGAATTTGAAAAAAAATGTTGGTAAAAACGCTTAGATTCCATCAAATAACGTCCTTGAAAAAAAATCCCGGGGGAACAATACCCCCGGACCCCCCCCCTCCGATCAGGCATCCCCGGGTGTGCGTACCAACTCAAAATATAGCCCTACGCCCATGATACATCCTTTTACCTTCATCCTACAATGTGCATGTATACCATAGCTGGGGCTGTTGTTGTAAGCAGTTGTATTATATCATGGGCTTTCTCTAAAAGCCCATGATTATAGCTCTATAGACTGAATTAGGCCTATATTTTTACATCAATAGATTTTTCTAAAGTGAATCAAGTCTATCTGCAAGACTAAAACTGGACATTTTTAATGTTTATCTGCTTTCTAGTAATTCCTTAAAACCATATGTTATAATATAATGTTAAAAATCAAGTTTCTATTTCACTTATATCATTCAGGTGCCTGGGAACAATTGTTAGTTTTTGTAGGGTGGGAATTTGAAATGTGAAGGTCATCTGTTTTTCCCAGTTTGATAACCAAAATAAAAGAGTCTCACCTTCGCTTCCAAGCGTCGAAACCAAGGGGTAAACAAATGTCCAGATGTACGTTGGTATCTTCGAAACTTGTTTACGTATACTAAGCACTCCTTTTTCGAGAACACTTAGTGCAAATGAATCATGAAATACCTTGAAAAATGGCGTATGTACTTTGTCCGTGTGGCAGGATCACTTGGGAAACCCCTCTTTGTCAGATGTTTATAAATTAACCAATCAGAATGTTGCATTTTTAATTATTCCATCTTGGGGACTTCCCCTAAAATCTGCTGATAGATGTCGTCTTCGATTGCCCCGCCCTCTATAGTTTAATAATCGTGGAAAATAATTCGCAAAAAGAATTGGCCAATTATGACCTCCTTAGGCGTCATTAGGCTACTTTCGGCATACTTTCTGTGTTTTGTGAGTAGTGTACACTCCCAGGATATCTTAGGATGTGGTGGATTCGTCAAATCGGATGTAGATATCAACTATTCCCAAGTTGAGGTGAGGAAAATTCTTATTTTCACTTATTATCGCCCACTTCCCATCGATTTCATGAAGTAATTGTTCAAGGTTATCTTTACCTGTACCTGTACACCGATTCCCCTACAGAATACTACACTATGGAGCTAATGGAAATGGTGGGTCTACTCTGATGAAGCAAAACTTCTAATCACGATTTTCTTGTTATTCACCTTTCCATAAAGTCAGCTCATGAATATTATAACGAGCCGCTTAAAAATCTGTGACGTCAATGGGAGAAACTTTTTCCCGCGAAAAACAAATGCAATTGAGTTTACATGTAAATCCTCGGTTGATTGCTGTAAGTTTTACCTCTTCAAATGTGCAAATTATCAGTAAATTATTGACGGATTTTTTATTGAACGTCAAATTGACATTTATTTACGCCTTCTAAGCGATTTAAATATTAAATTTCTGTTCATAATGAGTAAATAAATTGAAGAGAATTACTCCCAGTCATTTTTCAATCATAATGGGAACTGCATGCAGTGGCGTAGCCAGGATTTGGTGACCGGGGGTTCTATTTTTATGTTATTTTTTATGTTATTCACAAATCCCCCCCCCCCTTCATTAGGGCTCCTCAAATAAAAACATTTTTTGTGCAATTTGTACAATTACACCCCCTCCAAAAGTTTGGCAATCCTAACTAACCCATTGGATTATGTATTAAAGCATCTTTAAGTTTGAATTCTTATATGCATAATTTGTAAAGAAAAAACTATTTTGGGAGGGGGAATATAATTCATTTTAATACCTTCATCAAGTAGACAATTGAATTTGAATTTTATTTAACAAAAATGATGTATTTATTTACGTTAAGCAAAGTCTGAAAGTAATCGGCTTCATCAAGAAACCTGTCCCATTGAAATAACACAGGACGTAAAAATGATTTTCAAAAATGATCTTGTATACAAGACTGTATATTGGGATGGATACATTCTTTGAGCAAGACTACTTTGTAACTTTAATGTTCACAATTAAAAAACAGGCAACGTGCGCGTGCAAAAAAAGTCAGACAACTTATAATTAATTTTCTGCATCAAAATATTTTTCGGTGAATCTTTTACTGAATATATATCCTGAAATCTGATTTGCCCCGGATCCACCATTATTTCGTCTGATTTCTGGAAGACCCTGGAGCACGATTTGTTACCAAGGAATATCAACAATTTATTCTTTAACTTAAGCTACTTCATCTAGGACAAAATAAATCACCTCATGCAATGGCTTATCATTATTTTGCAGGAACTTTGTTGGAAGCCAGTTCGGATTAAACACCCTATACTCCGAAAGATCGTTCTTCTATGACAACTTTTCACAACGTTTACACGAAGGCTTTTTAAACTATCCGGGATAGTCGTATTACTGATGAAAACATCTATTCTGTAATCTGTTATTCACCTGTTATTCAAATAAGTAGGTCTCGGTTATGCTTTGTTTTAAAAAGTCTAAAATATTTCTTTGAACGTCCCGGAGCTCAGTGGTAAGTCCCCCGGAGCAGATCAACTGCAATTGATAATAAAAACGTTTTGCTGGATATAAATCCTATGGCCTATATAAATACAAGCGACTGTAACGTATTTTGTTAAGTTCAGACGGCTTGATGACAATTAGGCCTTCTTTATTTGAAGCTTAATACCATATGATTTTTCAATGTTTTTTATTATGTAATTTATTTGCTAAGCATATCATGACATTAACATGAAAATGGAGAGCAAGTAAACTGGAACGATAACAATTTGAATTCTATACAATCTCCAAGATGAGTGGAGTAAATCTGGAAAAACAAAATCGTTTTTTCCAATGATTGCTTTTTCTTTGAAAAAGTGATGGGTAATAAATACTGAACAAATGAAAGAATGAATAAATTTGAACAAATGCTTGTGTTTATAAATGATATACGCTTTTAAATAATTCATTTCACAACGTTTTTAATTATTTAACACAATTAGTTTCGGGGACTTCCCAGCCCCAGGGACGTCCCAAGAAATATTTTAAATTTTTATTGAAATAAAACAAAACAGAGATGTACACATTTGAAAGAACATGTGTTTTATCAATATTACGACGATTCCAGATATTTATTCGTCAATGTTGTAAAAATCATTCGGAGTATGGGATGTCTGCATTGTTTACAATAACTTTCAATAACTTTTTATTGGACCAGAACTGGCTTAAAAAATCCTACAAAGGACTGATTTAGCCATTGCCCAAGATGGGTTATTTTGTCCGAGAAGAATCAGCTTTTAAGTTAATTGTGCGAAATTATTGTTATTTCTTAATGTAAAATCTCATGCTCTGGGGTCTTCCGACAATTTAATCTCATCCCATGCCTAAGTTTGCCAAACGTTTTGAGGGAAGTGTAACTTCATGATGACATGTTTTTAACAAAATAAGCCTCTCGTGTTCACCATAACAAATATCAATTCATTTACTGCTCATATATGTAGTTTTCAAATAGCACAGTAATTTAATGTTTCTGGTTGAGGCATTTTTCCGCAAAATGATATTTTGGAAAATCCTGACCGGGGGTTCGTTCGAACCCACCGAACCCCCGTTGCCTACGGCTATGGCATGTGAACAGGTGAAATTATCATAATCATTGGTTCACCAACATTATAACATGTCTCTGATGCATAAAAATATATAGATAGACAATCTATTTTAAGTTAATCTTCAGTGTCATTTGATGAATGACCTGTTCAAATTAAAAACATTTGCTCTTATTCATTTAATCATTGACTTCACTACTCCCATAATTCAATTAACTAATCACGATTACTTCCTATCTATTTCTGCAAGTCATATATAAGATCGTATCTTGAAAATATTATACATGAAAACATCGGAATATAGAATTTATATATTCCAATGTATATTTCCCGCTGCGTATCTCCCGATCCAAATATTCCCAGGAAAATGTTTTTTATTCAGTGTAGAAACAGTCAATTTGTTAGAATATCTTGCTAAAGCAAAACTGTCAAAATAGATCCAGCAGACTGTAGAATTTTTCTTAGCCAAAATGATGATGGATTTCTCGAAAATAATGAGAACGCTTAGAAAACAAACCTGAATATGCAGGGTGTCCTGAAAACTTCACTTGTGAAACCTCACTTGTCATACGATAAATTAGTTATGTGATGATCGGTTTTGAATAATGATCACCGGAAAGATTTCAAAGAAAGAGCGTATATCTATAATATTTATTGATGATATGTTGACATTGCTGATCGTTATTGACATCGCTGATGGCGAATTAACACCAAAAGGTAACGATATCGTATATGTACTATGAACAAATTTCATTTGGTAAATAATAAAGTAATGGTTTAAGTCTAGCTTCTTGGATAGAAAATTTGGCTTCGAAGTTATCTTTTTAATAGCCAATGGGCGTTCTCCAAGTTTGGAGGATAGAATGAAGGTTTTTTAATGAGGCCCAGTTGCGTTTAGCGAGAAACCCGTTCTACGTTTTACTGAAATTGCAACTGGAAAAAGTTCCAATGAAAAAAAAGTTAGTTTAGTCATGGGCTTTCATGATCTTGAAAGCCCATGGTTTTAGTTACCGGAACATATTCATGCATGCTTTTGAAAATATTTTGTTAATTGTATGACCACTATCAGATAATTAAACCGAGCTGTTTGTAACTTCACAATTTACATTTTTTGTTTACAATCGCACGAGATATGTGAGCCCGGGTATGTGAAGCTGATCTCAGAAGTCTTAATAAACAATAGTTCTGTCAAAAAATGATTAATTTAAACTACATAAGGTTCGGAATCAAAGTGCCCCGTCCATATTTCTTATTTGATTAAAAATAATTTGTGCATTTGGCAAATAGAATCCTTTTTATTGTAGTTTATTCAAAATATTCCTATGCTGGCTGTACTAATTCTTCAAAACTTTCTACCATTGGACGTCATTGATTTGACTCATTTGCATACAGCCAATCAGCGCGCCGGAAATTATCGATTTTCTTTACTTTGTGGAAAGGTGAATAGGATTCTTTTTTTATGTAGCTCTAGGCTAGAAAGTGGGACCAAACAGCAAAAATAATTGATAAGTGTCATATTTTCTTGAATTAACATAAGTATCCCAAAGTCTCTTAAACAGCAGAAAAATATACCACGTAAATCATATTTAGAAAAATGAGTGTCTCCAAGGCTTCATACAGTGTTAAGTCCACTGTTTAATTGCGTCAGTAAAACCTAAAAAATAAGAAATCAAAGTACCATTATGCAATAATATATGGAAAAATATATTCCTATTGTACATGAATGACATTTGTTTATCTTGGGTTGCTTCTAGTTTGGCTTATAAAGTGTGTGGCCTCTTATATTTGGATGCGTCTGTGCTACAGTATGTTATTTTCAATATTAAAGATTAACATGGCTGAAATTCTTCAAATTACAAGAGGGCACAGGCTTATTGCACAAAATACTAAAAAATCTGAAATATGTCATTCATGTACAATATGAATATACTTTTCCATATATTATTGCACAATGGTCTCTCGGTTTCTTATTTTTGGGATTCTACTGATGCAATAAACCAGTGTAATGGACTCTAGGCGAGGCTCCCCACCCCTTAGACTGTATTCTTTGTCTGAATAAATTCAGACCGAATATTATATTTGGTCTGTTGGATACATACTACCCCACCCCTAATGACTTTGACAAGTTTCAAGTGTCATTCCTGTATTTAGTCCACAAATCATTGCTACAGAGCTTGGATGTATGATTAAATTGAGGAATTAAAAAATTAATTGAAAAGATCAATCTTAATGAAATTATTCTTTCATTGTTATGGTTGGGGATTGGACTACATAAAAAATCAAAAAAGTATAGATTTTATTGAGGTACACGTATGTTATTTACGTTTGTATCAAGTGGCCTACATTACAGTTTTTACTTTTATGGGAAGACACATTACTATTCTCAAGTAATTGATCGTCTAATAAGATTGCCCATTTTCAGCGAAGAGTTTGTTTCTGCACTATAGAGCAATAGAAAACAAGTGCTCACCTAATTTTGTCAAGTGTATCCTTCAGTGCAACCTTCATTATTGTCAGTGCTATCTATATATTTTAGGTGAAATTATATACAAAACATGGCAGCTTGAAGTATTCTACTGACTGTGCCCCTAACAATGGCTACTACATGATACCCCTCTATGACAAAGGAGATTATGTCCTCAAGGTTGAGCCACCCACAGGATGGAGCTTTGGTAAGATGTTATTCCCTAAAACACATCATGTGAAATGTTCATTGAAGTTTTGATTTCAGCCTTAAGAAGGTTTCTGAAAAAGAATAGGGTTATATTAAATCTGAGTGCACTGGGTATATTATACAGCATAAAAAGCAATTCAGAGTCAATAACTTTGTACTTGATTTGGGACACTGATGATAGATCAGTGATTGCCTGAAAAAAATATGGATGGGTACTATACTACTAAATAATTTAAAAAAATAAACCAAACATGTAGAGATGATTGAATGACTTCTCAAACTTATCTCTGACTTTACCCTACTATTGTTGTCCCCATCTCAATAAAGTCAACATTGATAATGACTATAAATCAATCTTTGTTTCAGAACCATCCAGTGTTGACCTTCATGTGGATGGGACAACAGATAAATGTAGCAAGGGAGAGGACATCAACTTTGTATTCACTGGCTTTGCTGTCAATGGCAAGGTAATTATACATTGTTTTATCATGCAATTTATTTTGACTATGATGGGTAATCGTAAATAGTAAATACTGTACACATATTTTTGCTTGATTAAGAAGTATTATTATGTACGAAATTCATGAAATATTGAAAATCAAAAAATCCACCATATATTATTTGTAACTTGGTCATTCAAATTGATACTCTGAAATGAACATTCATAAAGGTTCAACAAAATATAGTCATTTGAGAACTTTGTATATGGGAATTGTATGTTACACATATGTCTACTCTGTATTATACTAGGTGATCAGTAAGGGCAGTGCTAGTGGACCTGAGGGGGTCCTAGTCTCATTGACTAAGACTACCTCCACTGATACCAGACTTCAGACCAAGACAGTACAAGGTGGCAGGTAAGCTATGCATTCGTTTAAAATTCAGATGACTTGTTTTATACGGTGATATTATCTTTGTTTTTTTGTCTTTAGATTCATAAAAATTGATCACTCACCACTGCAGTCACCAGGCCCGTAGCCAGGGGGGGGGGGTTCGTAGGGTTCGGGCGAAAATTCTTTCAATATCATGCAGTTTTTCACCATTTTGAGGACTTCTCAAGTGATTTTAGCCATATTTGGGCCAAAATTGTCAAATGTGAACCCGCCCCTGGAAATTTCTGAAAACTGAACCCCCCTTGGCAAATCCTGGCTACGGGCCTGCTCACTTAGTACTACACATACACAATTGCAGTCGAATTCAGTCTAATCTGACTTTTCACATTTGAAAAGCCAACATTTAATACACATGTAAAACATAAAATGCATTGATTGATTTTGGATATCTCTTTATTTTCTAGCTACCAGTTTGATAAACTCCTACCTGGGAAGTACATGGTCCAAGCTTCTCACCCAACCTGGACATTTGAGAAGGTAGGTTTAATTTAGGATTTTGAGTTCAATAGGATGCAATGATTGAATGGAAGGCCAAGGACCAACCAAATAGGGGACGGGGTTAGCTATACGCTGCAGTTTAAGAATTTCTGAAAACTATAACAAAATAAGTTCTTGTCAATCATACTTAATAGTGGCTCAAAAAAGCAGCAGCTAATTTACTGGGCATTGAATATACAGGGTATATGAGCATCTCTTCATCCCCCCGAAAGCCATATAAACAAATGTCCAAGACTGAAATGTAATCAATTATTTAGGACAAGAATTGTTTTGAATTTTTTAGATCAGTATCACCATGCATATTTTGATATCACACACATTTGGGTATAATCAAAACCGATGCAATATTGCACTGTTGTATTGTAACTACATGATTTAACAAAAATGTTACAGAACAATGTGGAGGTCGAGATCTCCAATGGTAATGGTGATGCGGGCAGCTCTATTGTTGTGCTGGGATATGATGTCAGCGTAAGTGCTCATGTCCATATTTTAGATGTAGAACAGTGTCACAATGAATTGTGTATTATTATGTAATAATATGAAATTCAAATACTATACATGTACTATAATGTCTAACAGAATAAAGATTGAAACAGATTTTTGGCATTTTAGTGAATGCTAATAGTTAAAAGCTGACAGCCTCTTTTTGATACTTTAGGGGAAGGTGTTCAGTGAGGGAGAGCCAATCAAAGGAGTGAATTTCATTCTCTTCTCCCAAACTGTGTCAGCTAAGAGTATCAAAGGCTGTGACACCAAACCTGTGGCTGCATTCAAAGCCCCTGCAGGAAAACAGCCGCTCTGTCATGTTGTATCTGGTCAAGACGGATCATTCAGCTTCCCACAGCTACCGGCTGCTGACTACTCGATTGTAAGTTCTGAGTATTTCATTGGAAATTCTTTAAGATTTGTAAGTTTTGAGTATTCCAATAATATATTCTGAAGATTTTTTGAATTTATTTAAGATTTAAAAGCTTCATTGTGATTTCTGAATTCCAATTTCTAAGAATTCTAATGTTACTTCTGAATACTTAAGTATTCCATTGTACTCTAAATACTCCATTGTAAGTTCTGGATATTCCATCATGAGTTCTGAATATTATGCAAATATTGAATGATAAGGAATGATATTCTCTGTATATTTATGATGAGTGTATTCAACAATACACAAAGAGCAGATTGACAAATATTCTGTTCTGTTGCACTCATTTGTAATTATCATACATTTGAGATTACATTGATAATGATTCTTTAATCTTTTTTATTTCATGTTTGTAGATGCCATTCTACAAGGGAGAACACATAACATTTGATGTGATTCCATCAGTGCTTGACTTTACTGTGAATCACAACACTGTTGTACTAGAGGTAAGATATTTACTGTGAATCACAACACTGTTGTACTAGAGGTAAGATATACCCCCAACTCCATTTGCTAGGTCAGATATATCTATGCTGAAAGTCCCTTGAAGAAATATTAAGATTTGTGATTTTTCAAAATAAGTAGAAAATAACTAAACCAGAGGTACAAATGCTTTATACAATGGGTAACATGACATTTCTTCAATACATGTAGATATAACAACTATACAAATACAGTAAAACCTGACATATAGATATAACAACTATACAAATACAATAAAACCTGTATAATCTGAAAGCGGAGTTAAAAGTGTTTGGATTGACAGGTGTTCACATTTCACATTTTTTAAAACAAATGTTTATGGCAGATTAGATAAAAAAAATGGAACAGTAACATTGAGAGGTGTTTAGATACAGTAAAACCTGCCCGAGGGAATACCTCTCTGTAGGGAAAACCTATGAACAAGGAATGGTTTTCAAAAGAACCAAATATTTTTCCATTGACTTACATGTTAACGGACCCTCTCTGTAGGGAAAACCTGTGAACAGGGAACAAGGAACACTATTTTGGGGCAAATTATGAAAATTCACCTGTGAACAAGGAATTTGGAATATTGGTGACACTGTATATTCCATTGTTTTTTAGAGGTGTGAAAGTCTTAATCCAATATCTGATTCTAAAAAGCTTGGATTAATATGAATGAGATTAAGATAAGCCAATTGTTCACAGGATGTAGCATCCCACCCATTGTTAATTACCCTGATATATTTTAAAACTAATACTAGTCTGTTCATTACTGATTATCATGACACTAATTCTTCCTTTCAACAAACCTAACTACATCTAATCAGTTGTGATAATCTAGGGACTGACACAATTGTTTTATGGAGATAACAGATAAGTACATGTGTCATGTTGAGCCAAATCTCTTTAAATCGTTTATTGATCCAAACTTCTAGATTATCAATGATATGAAATGGGGTTGATGAAACTTGAAATTCAGTTCTTACATGCCCATATATATACAAATATGCTTATTCGGCAAGTTTGAGTTTGCTGAAAGTGCGGCCCCTCTCTATAGGGAAAACCTCTGGACAAGGAAACTTTCCTCCAGTCCCAAGAGCATTCCCTGTTCGCAGGTTTTACTGTATACAGGTTTTATTGTTAGTACCTCACTGTAAATACTCGCATCTGATTGGTCTATTAGCGGTCAACATTTTTGCCTGTACCTCACTTGTGCATCATGGGATATCATATTATTGACCGCGTATGTTACTGTACTACACTTGTGAATTATGGGAAATATGACGTCACAATGCTGACAGAAAAAAACATGGTAGACGGACATTTTGTAAACGTTGATGAAAGTGATACTTTTCTACACGACGAGTATAGCAAAAATACAAATAGAAACGCAAAATTAACATTGAAAGTTTACTAATGAGTACGCAGTTATGTGCCGAAAACAGAGAGTTTAGCTTCAACTGTCTTCAGATTTTCTTAAAAGATTATTGCTGGCGGGGTTCAGGGAGAAGATTGTGAAATGAAGCCATGATTGATGACTGTCGTCTATATGTGTATTATTAGTTTCTTCTGACTAACAAAACAATTGTAGACCTCTCCATTCGGTCAACCGTCAAAATCATATACCTCGACTGTAAACCTTGAAACTACTGTTGACCTCGACCTTCGGTCTCTGTCAACAGTAGTTTCTCGGTTTACAGTCTCGGTATACAATTTTGCCGGTTGACCTTTGGAGAGGTCAACAATTGTATACTGTACTGTACTCAAGTGTTCGGTTATCTAAAGATATATTTACATGTATAGTTAATGTAACTTTAATTAAATAATGAATTTATCTTCCAGAAATCTTTCCAAGTCGCTGGTTTTTCTGTTAGTGGACAAGTCAAGGTCTCTGCTAAGGTAAGATCTAGTTCAATATAACAATACTGACCGAGAGCATTGCAAAGATGATCTAGAACAATATAATGATATTTGCGTTCAATTTCTACAAAATGGCATGATTTGCATAGTCCTAAAGATGTCTCTAGTTTTGGTGAGTTGCATGCCTCATAGCTAGCTAGGCTCATATTCAAGGAGGATAGGCTCCCAAGGACGCCACTTGATATTCTTTCCATATATGGGTATCGCGAAGTCCTGTCGTGTATTCAAAATACAAAATCACGAATATCAGCCATTCTCCTTGCAGTTTTCTGGTATTTTCAACTTCTTACTTAGTTACTCATACTTTTTGGTTCTAGGGGGCTGGTATAGATGGTGCTAAGATATTACTCAACAATAAGGAACTAGCTATAACTAAACAAGGGGGCTTCTACCATCTTGATAACATGAAGACTGGCACATACAGTCTTACAGCCAAGGCAGACAGACTGGAGTTTGAAGCTATGGAAGTGAAGGTGACCCCCAATACACCACAGCTACCACCCCTCATAGCAACCAAGTGAGTTTAAATCAAAGTCATTGAATAGTATAGCATTCAAGATCTAATCGGGAGGTTATGGGTTCAATTCCCACCGAGGTGGGGTGACTTTTTCACATCAGCCCTTAGTGTAGAATTTGTTCCTATGTTTCAAATAAACTAAAATTAGTTTTTTGTAAAGCAATTCGATTGATGTGTGAATTTAATATGTTGCAAATAGGAGATTTTTAATGAAATTTAGATTATCATTTTGAGCGACAGAATTTTCGAATGGGATTCTTATTATCACAACATACTTTTAATTTTATTTTAAACCTCTGTGAGAATCCTTTATCACTTCTCTGTATAGGAAAAAGCTCAGGGAAAATATCAAGATTTGCCACATAGGCATGTAAAAATTCTACTCTTTCACAAAATAAGTTTGAAAAATGAGAAATGTACTATTTTATCAAAATATTTTAATTTGAAAGCTTAATCTATTCTAACATAATGTGTAAATATCCAATTAAAAGGTGGGAAATATTAACCAGATGATTAATTAGTGGTATTTATAATCATAAAAATTTTCATTGTGTGAGTGTACCTTAAAACCTCCTGTTTTCGGGGCTCCTATTAAATCCTATCATCTTAAATCCCCTCAGCCCTCATATCTTGAAATCCTGATTTCTAGGTTCAGTGTCTGTGGTAAGATTGTGATAGATAGAGTACCTGACAGCTTAGACCAACTTGATACCACAAGGCAAGTGACCTTGGAGTCGAAAGGTCAACAAACCGTCACCTTGTCCTCAGATGCTAAAGGTCAATTCTGTACTAAAGTTAAACCAGGAGTATATTCTCTGAAGGTAAGATATTCTTACATGCATATCTTAGTAGATATCAGCAAAGGGCTAAATAAAGTGAAACGCCCTCTATTCTGTTCACTTGTAATAATGATGTGTATAAAATGATAGTAGTTATAGAATATTATTAGAAGATTAAAATTCATTAGTGACATTTCATTAAGGATAAATTAACAGAGTCAAATGTTTCAATGTAATTCTCTTACATTTTGAATTAAGTGCTTCATCAAGCCATTCTATAATTTACTTACATCGTTTATTGAGCACTTTTGTATTGTATTTTGTTTACCACCAATGAAGGTGAGCAATACCTCTTGGGTATGTCCCGTATATATACGGTCGTAATTTACGTAATTAACATGGAAGATAGACCCAGAAACCCCTCCTTGAAGGAGCCCTGTGTTCTTTTATGTGCACTTATACATAGACATACAAGTACACACCACAGCCTTTTGTACGAGTTGCGGACCACTCAGTCAAACACCCTGAAGTACTTTACGCAAACAAGCAAAGGATGTGTCCGGGTATATGCCCTTTTGGTCCCTCAGTCAAATGTATGTGAAATATGGTTTTTATTACTGTCCTAGTTATATTTGATAAGTATATTTACTTTATCACGAGTTTTGATGCATAATTAACCCCCAGCTGAGAGTCAGAATAAATATCTTAACAAAACAAAAAATAGTCATTATCATAGAAAAAAACACCAATGGCAACATGTATGACATACAAAGAAGAAATAACTTAAGACCCATGAAGAATTAAAAATAAAATCATATTTTTGAAATATATTTAAGGATTAAAATTTTTTTCAAATTTTTGAATTTCCCGCCAGTTTAATTTGAAGGGGGAAAAACAAGATGGTTGCCAATTGATGTAAGAAATATCAGAAAAAAGGTTGCTTCACTTTTAGTTTTCACACTGTGCACAGTTTTACGGTTTAGGTCTTTTGACTGATTCTGACTCTTCATCACCAGGATCATGTATAGAGATTATAAAATTGAAACCAAAATGTTGTGCTCAGCATGAATTTGACTGAAATATGTGTAACATCACCAACACAATTGAAGTCTCAAAACTGGATGCTCAGTAACTTTGAGTGACTATAATCCCTTGATTACCCAGATAAACACCAATTCACTTATCCAGAAATACCATTCAATGTCTATACAAAGAAAGTAACCAATGTTTTGGAAGATATGTTTCAAACTTTTTGCATAAATAATTCATTTAATATTTGCCATTGATATTTTTTCAATTCTGACAAAGTGATATGCACTGTCTTTGATGCCAATATTCTTCATCAATTGTGATACAAATTGATATTTTTGTAATCTCAGAAGAAGGATAAGATATTGAAGTTTAATAATATGTGTGATTGAGTTGGTTTTTCAGACATTACAATTTTCAATACTTTCTAAGTTGATACCCAGACTCATTCCCAGACTCATCCTTTAGTCTTGCCTGAACCGGGGATCGAATCCGGGACCTATTGCGTAAGAGGTACCTGCGCTACCGCTGAGCTACACGGGTGGACTATACAATTTCATGTCTTATTATTTTTTCCAGCCTGTATTGAGTGCCAAAGAAATCAGAGCTGGTTTGAAACTAGCCCCATTTGATAAACAAGTGACAGTCACAGATGCTTCTGTAGATGGGATTCTCTTTTCACAGTTCCAAGCCAAAGTTACTGGCAAAGTGGCATGCTTAGGTGAGGCATCAACGTATTACATGTTCAAATTGAAAGAATCGTGAATTGAGCTTCAATATTTACTCCTTTCAGTTTTGAAAGATCTTCTTTGCTAGTTAAATAAGTGAACTTTGTGGCTCCAAAAGAAAAATGCCAATTTCATGTGAAATCTGCAGGATTCATGAGAAATGAGGAAAATAAGAGAATGACTTATCTAAAATATTGAATGCAGTCATAAAGATATCAATTATTAAGATGATATATAGAAAGGTATACACGACGAAATGCCAGCTTGGGTATATGATTCAGATTACACTTGACTAACTCACAGCCAGGGAATGTTGCTTTATATTTCCTGAGTCACATGTAGGACATAGACCAATCAGAGAGTAAGGAATATGACAATGAAAAATAACTAGAGATCTAACGATCTAAGATTGCAAGCAATCTTACGGAGGCCCTATATTCGTTTCTGAACATTCAAAGGCCAGCCAAAGGTCAAATCTCTAATACAAGGTCATATATGAACTCCAGACAACTTGTAGATGATTTTTAAAAAAGGTTTGGTGGAATTAATGCAAGTTGAAATTTGATCTTAAAAAATTTTGAAATTTGACCTTTTTCAGTTTTTGAGCTATAATATCTCAAAACTGGAGCCAAATTTTAAAAGATAATCAATTGCTAATATGTGTAGAACCTTTAGTAGAGGAATATATATTCTGACTTTCATTTAAAAATATTGATTTGTAGTCTCCAATTTTGAGAAACTTAGAAAACACAGTTTGTGATTTCGTTTGATGACCTTGACCTTTGACCTTGCAAATTTTACTTTTTTAGACCTCAGAAGGTCTTTTGTGAATAAATATACCTAAATTTGAATCCATAAAATCGATTTGAAAAATCAAGTTTTTTGACCTTTCGGAGGTCACTGAAGGTCAACCAAAGGTCAAAGGTCAAAAGTAAAGTTAGATTTGGAATCCTGAGAACGTGTAGATGAGTTTAAAAAAAAAATTGGTCAATTTGAAGCAAGTTGAAATTTAGTCTTGAAAAGTTTCGAAATTTGACCTTTTTTCAGTTTTTGAGTTCCAATATCTCAAAACTGGTACACAATTTTAATAAATAGTCAATTGCTAATATGTGTAGAACCTATAGAGGAATATATATCCTGACTTTCATGAAAAAATATTGATTTGTAGTCTCCAATTTTGAGAAACTTAGAAAACACAGTTTGTGATTTAGTTTGATGACCTTGACCTTTGACCTTGCAAATTTTATTTTTTTAGACCTCAGTGGGTCCTTTGTGATCAAATATACCTAAATTTGAATCCAGAAAATCAATTTGAAAAAACAACTTTTTTTATCTTTCGAAGGTCACCGAAGGTCGGAGGTCAAAAGTAAGGACATATTTGAGTTCCTGAGATCTTGTAGATGATTTTTAAAAAAAATCTGGTTCATTTGAAGCAAGTTGAAAAATGACCGATTTTTGACGATTTTTGACGTCAAATATCTCAAAAACGGTAAAAAATTAACGCGTACATATAGTGAGCAATTTGTAGAGAATGCTTATATCTAGTTACATTTTAATTCATCGCAAGAAATAATGAAGTATGAGGACGAAATCTGAGAAACTTAAAAAAGCTTAGATTTGACCTAGATTTTGACCTTTGACCTTGACCTAGATATGAACTAATTTCCCGACAAGTCCAGCTCATGTCCCTCGTAGGAGCATATAAGAGTTCATTCAGACCTAGCTAGAAGTAGGAGAAAAAGTGCTAAAAAGAATAAGAAGAAGAAGAAGAATAACTACAAAAACTATAGGAGGCCCCCTGGAAGGGCCTCCTAATAACTGATAGTTCTTGTTCATCGTGGGTGAGCTTGAAGAACAACTTGAAATTATAAAGTAATAATTATCCATCTGTGGTTTTAGAATCATGTGGAAAGATGCAAGTGATCTTGGCTGCAGTTGGACGAACAGACGAGCGTAAAGTGGCACAAGTGACATCATCTGGCACATTTACATACACAGACATAATGCCTGGCAAATATAGAGGTATGTGAATCTCTTGAACATACATCATGTATTGAACGTGTATTGATTTTTGATTACAGCAGGTTAGCATTTACCTGCTGGCTTAGATTAGTATGTAAATACTAAACATTTCATGTATCATTTTAAAGATCTCGAAAAAACTCACAACCCTGAAAATCTAGTTAGAACAGGGAATACATCTTTAAATGTTGAATTTTTCTAATCTAGCATTATTCAATGAAATATACATCTTTCGAAACCTATTTTAAAAATCCTAAGCATTTTCTGAAAAAGTAATATGATTGTCTGTCTAAAAGTCATAATGTTAAAGTGTAGTTGTAACATCTTGTTGTACTTAAAAATATTGAACATGTTATTGCAGCGAGTGTTTCTCAGGATGAATGGTGTTGGAAGGAAAGAAGCATTGACTTTGATGTTCAGGATAAAGACATAACTGATCTCCAGTTTGAACACACAGGATATATACTCTCTGTTACATTATCTCATGAAATAACACTGGTAAGTTATTGGAATTGTACCAGGGTCAAAGCCTCAAAACATTTGGGGTTTACAATTTCCATTTAATGCAATACAATGCAGAACTTTTCAGCAATGGAACTGTATCTCATTATCAATATGAAGTAAAACTTGTCTAAATTGGGACCAGCCAAAAGCTTTCGAATTAGCAGTTGTTCACATTTCAAGGTTTTATTAACATGTAAGTCAATGGGAAGTAACAAATTTTGGTCCATTTTTGGTTCAGATTAGAGAGTTATTCGGATATAAATAATACACCTTTTACTGTATATTCTGATTGGGGGAATTCTGAAATTCACTGGAGACATTACCTTGAATTTACTTTTTGCATTTTAAAATTTCAATAAATTTTAAATTTAAAATATGTTTGCAGAACTTTGCCCAGGAAGGGAAACCAGGGAATGTTGGTTCATTCAGTGTATCTAAGGGTGTCAACAGGTTCTGTCTGGCCAAGCCTGGTCTTTACAGTCTCAGCCCTGTCTCTTGCCACCAGTTCCAGCAGGAGATCTTCAAATATGACACGTAAGCCTTTTTCAACTTCTCCTATGTTCTGTTATATTCTATTTATGTTAACATTTAGAGCTTTCGGTGCCAGTTTTATATATTATACTTCAATCTGATTAAACTTCTGAGCGATTCATTTACTAATTTTCCAAAATTGTTTTAGGTCTGCCCCCAAAGTGTTGTCTCTGACCGCAGTGCGCCACCTGGTATCTGGAGTTGTTACTACAAATGAACTACAGAATGACATCAAAGTAACTATAACGTAGGTTGATTTTGATCCATTTTATTTCATTTTCAAATTCTATTAGACTGTTAACAGTCTCTTTGATTCCACAAATTAATGGTACATTTAAATAATGTCTTTTAATTGACCCCCACAGGTAAATATGATTTGCTGAGTAAATAAGATAAAACCAGGTTTTCTAATTTTTCTTAAGTTTGGAACATGTTGTGTGAAAAAGTACATACATCTGTACTTAAAAGCTACAAGGAATAATTTATTTTTACAGATCTGCAGGTGACAACACTGAAGTTGTATTAGGACCCCTTGAAGCAGATGGTGTTCCGCCTCCCACTCAGAACAAGGATGAAAAGAAACAAGCACCACCCAAGGGGCCCTTTTCCTACAAATTTTCTCACATGGCTAAGTATGTACACCTTTGTTGCATATTTAACAGGGAGCAGAACCTAGTTGCTCTAATGCTGTTGAGATCAAATACTGATCAATTTCAACAGAAATAATCTTAATATATTTTTATATAAATGACGCTTTCAGGACTGGTGAACAGCTAGGGATGAAACCAAGCTCTGGTGTGGTGTTATTCTATCCAGCCCAACAACTTGTAACAGTTGAAGGTGAGTCTAAATAACAACTTACAGAGTGACATTGGCTTTGAATAAAAGGATGAGACATCAAACATAAAGTAAAGCCTGTAACCCCCCTATCACACCAAACTCGTTCTTACCCGTTCTTGCCAGTCCTACGAAAACGTCGTGAAACGGGCTCAATCTGGCTGTGGTCGGGAAATATGTCTGAAATAATTAGCTTCTTCGTTCTTAAACAGTCTTCAATACGTCCTTCTCGTTCGCAGTTCGTTCAGGTCGCACCACGTCGGTGTACAACGTAGTAGAACGCGTCCCTTAGTCTAGAAGGTCAACATGACCTGATTACAGAACGTTATGGTCGCCATCGAATTTTGAATCGATTCAAAATTCTAAAATCACATTCCCGCCTGAGAACGATCATAAAGTTCGTAAATAGACCTTAGAAAGTTGCAGCTACGTTCATTCCGTTCGCACACAGTTTTGAAGAACGCAGTGGCAACTTGTTTGGTGTGATAGCTATATTTTTGCTAACTCGTTCATAAGCAGTGTTAAATACGTTCTCAATCAGTTTAAACCCGTTTGAAATTAGTTCTACCTCGTTCTCAACACGTCCTCAGACAATTCAACTCGTTGTTAAAACGTCCCTAGTAGGATTGAAGTACGGCGGTTCCGTTCGTAGTACGTCCAGCTCGTCGTTAGTACGTTGTCACTCGTTCTAATTGTAGAACGTGACGACCACGAGAACATTTTGAGCATTGTCTAAGTTCTAGAGGACCTACCCGTTCGAGTACGTTCGATGGAGTTTGTTAATAGATCCCAAACGGTTCTTAGTAGGTCCAGTCCGTTCGTACACAGTTGAAGCCCGTTTTTGAGAACGTAGTGAGAACTAGTTTGGTGTGATAGTAGGGTAAAGAGGAACAATTCAGGGTCCTTTGCTTAAATGACTTGATATTAGATGAACCTCTGTAAATGGAACACTTTAGAGGTACGAAAGGTGTTCCTCTTACACACTTTTACTGTAAATGTATATTGATAATTTCACAAAGCTGGGTATGCTGAGAATACACCTCCATACTGTCTCTATGTGTAATAAAATTCCTCCATACTGTCTCTTTGTGTAGTAAAATTCCTCCATACTGTCTCTTTGTATAATTCCTAAATTCTGCCTTAATGTTTTATAGATGGCTGTCCTGTGGAGCCTGTAAGATTTCAAGGCAAAAAGGGTGTGTTTATAGAGGGTGAAATCCAGCCCTCACTTCAGGGTGTCCACGTTTCCATATCATCTGATGCTGGCACAGACCCTCTCAAGGTCATATCTGACGCCAAGGGAAAATACAGGTAAAATGTTATCCCCATTTCTATGCCTCTGCCACTAGAGGCATGCATTGAATACAGTTTATCTCCATCCCTCTGTATTTTTATATTTCTGTACATGTAATTCCAAAATCGTATTTTCCAGAGTGGGCCCCTTACATGGTGACCAAGATTACAGTGTGAATGCTGAAAAAGAAGGCTATGTGCTGACACCTATTGAGGGGAGAAAGGGTTTCTTCAAGGCTTTCAAACTTGGGCAAGTCTTAGCTAAGGTAAGATTTATAGAAGACTTTTAAATTGCATTTTGCACATGTAGTGATTGGTTATGTTTGTGGGATGGGGTGTAGGAACACATAAAATTAGGGAACATGTTTTATATTTTATCTGTTTGACATGATTCTTTAAAATAAGCTAATATGATGCTAATAAAATATTCATTACGCCCTGTGTAGGTATCTGACACAGTGGGTACTCCACTGGGAGGTGTCTTGCTGTCTCTGAGTGGGGGATCAGCCTACAGAAGCAACAACCTCAGCCACACTAATGGAACTATGACCTTTGGAAACCTGGTGAGATTACATTATAATTGTTCTGTAGTTATAGGAGTCATGGGAGAGAGATTTTGAAGTACATATACATGGAAATACATTGTCAATGTTATGTCGTATTGGTGTCCCAGATAACAAATACATAAAAAACTCAAAATATAAATTTCTTTCTTTTTGGTACCTCTTAAAAGTGTTCCACTAGCAGAGGTTCATTTAACAATAAGTCAGTTGGTCTTGATACTCTGAAGTCTTCCACTTCTACTAAAGGTGTTCCCCTTTACGGGTTTCACTGTATATACATGTTATATGAGAGAATCTAAAATTCATTTTTGAACTTCATTTTTAGAGCCCAGGAGAGTATTTCCTGCGACCAATGATGAAGGAGTACAAATTCACTCCTGCCTCACAGATGATTAATGTCCTAGAGGGCAGCACTGTCAATATAGATATTATTGGCAGCAGGGTTGCTTACAGGTAGGTCATATTTTAAAATTACATCTGATTCAATGATGCATATTTACATTACACCGAATCTTCTGTTCAAACTTATAGAAACAAAGGATGTGTCCGGGTATATGCCCTTTTGGTCCCTCAGTCAAATGTATGCGAAATATGGTTTTTATTACTGTCCTAGTTATATTTGATAAGTATATTTACTTTTTCACGAGTTTTGATGCATAATTAACCCCCTGCTGAGAGTCAGAATAAGTATCTTAACAAAAAGAAAATAGTCATTAATCATAGAAAAAACCATCAATGGCAACATGTATGACATACAAAGAAGAAATAACTTATTAGACCAATGAAGAATTAAAAAGAAATTCAAATTGTTGAATTTCCCGCCAGTGTAATTTGAAGGGGGAAAAACAAGATGGTTGCCATTTGATGTAAGAAATTTCCCAAACAAACCCATGAAAATGCTACATATTTCAGTGTGTATGGTACAGTGTCATCACTGAATGGAGAACCTGAACAAGTTGTTATCATAGAGTCAGTGGGCAAGAACAACTGCAGTGACCTACAAGAAGAGGGTAAGAAGGCTGTCACATAGGAGAACATGTTGACATTATTTCATGACAAGGATTTTAAGATATTGCTTTTTTGAGATAAATGTGATATATCAAGAGAAACAAGACAGATCATATTAAATTATTAACTGTAGTGAAAAACAACATGTTGGCTAGTTTGAATTTCCTTGAGATTGAAAGAATTGTACAGACTGATTGGAGAAAGTTCAGTTATGATTAGTTTATTGTAAATACCCTCCGATTTAAAATTGAAAATAACCTCAAATCAAAAAATACCTTAATATTGACAATACCATCAGACTGAAAATACCCTTAGGTCAAAACACTGAGATTGATATAATTATTATGCATGTTTTAGGTAAAACAGAGCAGGATGGTAGTTATAGAATAAGGGGTCTGCAGCCTTATTGTGAATATGTCATCCAACTGAAGGGTGATGATGTCAATCAACACATAGAGAGAGTGGCCCCCAAAGAGGTCATTGTCAAGGTATAAATTATTAAAGTTTCCATAATTTCTTTACATCTGGTACAGAGTGTCTCAGAACCCTTGGAACTTTTTTAGGGATTTTCTGGAACATATAGGAAGAATTGATACGATTGATCTAATTCTTATACTTCAAATTTTGTGCTTTTTATTATTATTAGCTCACATGGTGAGCTTTTGCAATCACTCACTTGTCCGTCCGTCTGTCCGTCTGTCTGTCCGTCAACAATAGTGGCACGTTTTAAAACCTCTGTCGATAGGATTCCTGTTTTAAGTTATTTCTGTTCAACATCAATACAGAAAACCCCCCTATGACTCCTGGTTCAAAAGCTCGCCTATTTTCAAAATGGCCGTCACTTTTGTCTCGCGAAATTCACTTTTAGCCCATTACCTAGCTAACCTCTGTCGATTGGATTCCTGTTTTAAGTTATTTCTGTTCAACATCAATACAGAAAACCCCCCTATGACTCCTGGTTCAAAAGCTCGCCTATTTTCAAAATGGCCGTCACTTTAGTCTCGCGAAATTCACTTTTGGCTCATTTCCTAGCTTTACAAATAATTTCAGGTGTCCTACATTGTAAAAATCCATGTCAATGTAAAGATTAGATATATGAAATAATTTTGTTACAAAAAATCAGCGAAAAATTGTATCCATTTTTTTATTTTCCACCCATTTTAGTTAACATTGATTTGTCTATCTGACTCGCGAAATCCACTTTCTGTCAATAACAGTGGCACGTTTTAAAACCTCTGTCGATAGGATTCCTGTTTTAAGTTATTTCTGTTCAACATGAATTCAGAAAACTCCCCTATGACTCCTGGTTCAAAAGCTCGCCTATTTTCAAAATGGCCGCCATTTTTGTCTCGCGAAATTCACTTTTGACCCATTTCCTAGCTTTACAAATAATTTCAAGTGTCCTACATTGTAGAAATCTATTGCAAAGTAAAGAGTAGATGTATGAAATAATTTTGTTACGAAAAATCAGCGAAAAATTATATCCATTTATTTATTTTCAGCCATTTTAGTTAACATTAATTTGTCCATCTGTCTCGCAAAATTCACTTTTGGACCATTTACCTTAAACCCTCTGTCTATAGGATTCCCATTTTAAGTTATTTTTGTTCAACATCAATACAAAAAACTCTCCTATGACTCTTGGTTCAAAAGATCGGTTATTTTCAAAATGGCCGTCACTTTTGTTTCGCGAAATTCACTTTTGACCCATTTCCTAGCTTTACAAATAATTTCAGGTGTCCTACATTGTAAAAATCCATGTCAATGTAAAGGGTAGATATATGAAATAATTTTGTTACAAAAAATCAGCGAAAAATTGTATCCATTTTTTTATTTTCAGCCATTTTAGTTAACATTGATTTGTCTATCTGACTCGCGAAATCCACTTTCTGTGGCACGTTTTAAAATTTCTGTCGATAGGATTCCTGTTTTAAGTTATTTCTGTTCAACATCAATTCAGAAAACTCCCCTATGACTCCAGGTTCAAGAGCTCGCCTATTTTCAAAATGGTCGCCATTTTTGTCTCGCGAAATTCACTTTTGACCCATTTCCTAGCTTTACAAATAATTTCAAGTGTCCTACATTGTACAAATCCATGTCAATGTAAAGAGTAGATGTATGAAATAATTTTGTTACGAAAAATCAGCGAAAAATTATATCCATTTATTTATTTTCAGCCATTTTAGTCAACATCGATTTGTCCATCTGTCTCACAAAATCCACTTTTGGACCATTTACCTTAAACCCTCTGTCGATAGGATTCCCATTTTAAGTTAATTTTGTTCAACATCAATACAAAAAACTCTCCTATGACTCTTGGTTCAAAAGCTCGCCTATTTTCAAAATGGTTGCCATTCTTGTTTCGCGAAATTCACTTTTTGCCCATTTCCTAGCTTTACAAATAATTTCAGCTGTCCTGCATTGTAAAAAGCCATGTCACTGTAAAAGGTAGTTGTATGAAATAATTTTGTTACAAATTATTGGCAAAAAATTATATCCGTTTTTTTTTCAGCCATTTTAATTGACTGAGAGACAGATGGCTTGAAATAATTTTTTTTACAAATCCATGTCAATGTAAAGAGTAGATGTATGAAATAATTTTGTTACGAAAAATCAGCGAAAAATTATATCCGTTTTTTTATTTTCAGCCATTTTAGTTAACATTCATTTGTCCATCTGTCTCGCAAAATCCTCTTTTGGACCATTTGCCTTAAAACCTCTGTCGATAGGATTCCAGTTTCAAGTTATTTTTGTTCAACATCAATACAAAAAACTCCCCTATGACTCCTGGTTCAAAAGCTTGCCTGATTTCAAAATGGTCGCCATTTTTGTCTCGCGAAATTCAATTTTGGCCCATTTCCTAGCTTTACAAATAATTTCAGGTGTCTTGCATTGCAAAAAGCCATGTCACTGTAAAGAGTAGTTGTATGAAATAATTTTGTTACAAATTATTGGCAAAAAATTATATCCGTTTTTTTTTCAGCCATTTTAATTGACTGAGAGACAGATGGCTTGAAATAATTTTGTAACAAAAAATCAGCAAAAAATGTGACCATGTGAGCCCAGTACCCACGGTACTAATTTAGTTAAAATAACACAGGATTTGAAAAATGCACATTTTTACTGCTGTTTAGTTTGCGTGTAGGTGTTAAGAAAACACTTAGCATACATAAAATTTAAACCAATGACATAACATAAACGTCTTACTTAGATTTTAGATATTACTTCCTCATTATTCATGAACTGTTATTAGTAGGTATTCTGAGAACCATAACGACATTATAGTTAAGCACAAATTAGGTGCGCTTAAGTAAGTACTCATTCAAGATATATGACTGAAAACTGTCAAGAAAACATGATAGTTTATTTTAGTATTTTTTAAATAAAATAGTGTTGTTGTGTGAAATAAAAATAATGTAAACTGTAAAGGATTTTCCAACCAAATAATTATATGAAGATGTTGTTGTTATTATCCAACTGAATGAAAAATGTGTGCGTTTGTCCATCCGTGCATTTGTCCATCGTTTGTCTGGGCGATAACTCAAATACCGGTCGACAGATTTGATTCAAATTTTATAAGCTTATGGGTGTAGGACCTCTGCTCGAGAAGGAATTTTGAATATGGCCCCTCAATTCAAAATGGCCATAATTTTTCATAAAAAAATGTGATTTTTGATAACTCAAATACTAGTTCACGAATTTGGTTCAAATTTTATAGACAGATGCCTAGGAACAAAGGAGCTACACTGAAGAAGAGATTTTCAAAATGACTGCTAAATATCAAAACAGCAGCCATTTTTCGTAAAAACTGTAATATTTGATAACCCAAATACTAGAGAACAGATTTGGTTCAAATTTTATATGATGATGCCTTGGCACAAAGTTGATTTGTTCAAGAAAGAATTTTCAAGATGGCGACTGAATTTCAAAATGGCCGCCATTTTTCATTAAAATGTAATTTTTGATAACTCAAATACAAGTGAACGGATTTGGATCTTTTATATGATGATGCCTAGAGACACAGTACCTCTGTTCCACAAAGAATTTTCAATGACTGAATTTTAAAATTGCCGCCATTTTTCGTAAAAATGTAATCGTTAATAACTCAAATAGCAGTGAACAGATTTGGTTCAAATTTTATATATTGATGCCTAGGAACACAGTAGCTCTGTTCGAGAAAGATTTCTAAAATGGGGGCTGGATTTCAAAATGGCTGCTATATTTCATAAAAAAAGGAATGTAATCTTTGATAACTCAAATGCTAATTGACGGATATGGTTTACATGTTATATGTTGATGCCTAGGGACAAACAAGCTCTGCTCAAGAAGGAATTTTCAAGATGGCCTCTAGTAATCAAAAAAAAAATTTCGGTGGGATTTGCTACTCCATGGAGTTGCTGTTTTTCCAGTTCAAAAAAAGATTTCCGCTGTTTTGAGGTTATAGATTAGATTAGATATCTATAATGTCATTACTAGGAAGGCTTTTTTAGCAATTAAATAAAACCCTCAATCAAAAAAAACATTTTTCATGATGTCCTGATTCTGGAACTGCTGGACAACATCCATTCAAGGATAGAAAGTCACTCGATAATATCAAGATGTTGGAAAAATAATTATAAGTAAGAAGAGCTTGATGTTTTACAGTATACTTTCACCGATGCTTTCACCAATGCAATGTATGTGGGGGTATATTATGTTTTATTTAAAGGCCCTATGTAAATTTTAAAAATATGTTCTTATCATTCTTAAGATTTTTGAAAAATTAGTTGGCAGCTTTTTATTTCTCAAATATTTAAATTTCCCGCCATTATTCAAATGAAATTTTCAATTTTCAATCATCAGATATTCCATTATACAGTGCAAAACACATTATCTTTTAACACTAATGAAAAGATTGAACAAAGGACACCCTATTTCAATAATTAAATGTCATATCTTCTGTGCCACTTAAATGTTTAACACATTAAAAATATTTTGCAACCTAAATGACACAGTGGCATCACTCAGATGGTAAAAAACTTTTGGAAAAAGATTTAAAGAAATTATCAATGTCAATCCTTTCTAAATATGCTAAACTTCTAAAATAAACCAATGTTGATTGTCTAACCAGGTTAAAAGGAAGAATATATTTTGTTTTAAATGATATGAGAACTCAATTTTGAAATGCATTTTTCTCTGAACCACTTTCAAACGTTGCTGAGTTAATTTGTCGCTTATTTATGAACCCATTATCGGCAAAAAACACATTAGAATAAATGAATTATTTCTTATTAAAAGATATGTGTGACCTCTAAAATAAATTCATGATTTTTAGAAGAAAAAGTCCTTCAAAAACAATTTTTGAAATTCAAAAAAGTTTCACATATCACATTTTGATAACATTAGGTAAGGCTACAATATAAGCCAAAGTGGTTTAAACTTTATATGGGGACTTTAAGTTCACACTTGGCACTTTGACAAGTCAAATATATGAGAACGAGCGCCAAAGGAGAAGATAAAGAAACGGAAGCCAGAGAAATAGAAGCAATTAAGACCACATCCAGTCTAAAGGAAAAAATGTTTCTAACAAAACAAAACAAATCATTCCTTGGAATATGTTGGATTAGTTTGATTATATTTCTCTTAAATTCAATCTACGTTTTTGACAATGAAAAGACTAAATTGATCATTCAGGAATCTGAGAATTTGTTTTACCTCTCAGTAAAAAATGTCAACACAAACAAACAAAAAATGACTATGAAACCAAATGAGAGTCAGATTTATGCGATGTCTTTGAAAGAGAACTTTACTACATACAAAAAACAAAAGATGGAAAAACGAAGTGAAAGTATGTTGACACCTACTGCTTTTAGCACAAGAGAACATATGAATGAAGTGCATAAAGCAATGTTTGAAATGAAAAATGAGAGTTTGTACAAAGAACAAACAACAATCGAACCAAATGGAATTCTTACGAACACAAAAAATGATACTACATTGACAGTCAAAGATGTTACCATTCAGCAGAGGAAACCGCTAACACTAAAAATTCATACACAAAATTTACCACATCAAGTCACAAATCAACGCGATGATGAATTCCTCATTAACGAACACATGGTGTGCGACATGAAAACGGATCTCTTGGTAATCATCAAGACAGCCCCAAGTCATCTAAAACATAGGGAAATAATACGTAAAACATGGGGAATTATTACAAGAATGAATGGATTCTCTTTACGCCATATATTTCTCCTCGGTGATGCTGGCTCAAAGAGTGTTAATGATGCAATTCAGAATGAAAGTAGAATTTACAGGGATATCATTCAAGGGGACTACAAAGATGCATATAGGAACCTTACACTTAAAGTATTGAAAGGGTTAAAATGGGCCACAGATTTCTGCAAAAATGAAACATATATCCTTAACACTGATGATGATGTATTTGTTAATATTCCTTCACTTTTAATTCTTATCAAAAAGCTACAGTCAAATGGAGAACAGCAAAATGGATTATTTTGTAGTGTGTTGATTAACACACGACCCATACGTGATCCTAATAGTAAGTGGTATGTCACAAAAACGCAGTTCGAGCCTGATATATATCCAGATTATTGTTCTGGAATGGCTGTTTTGTATACAAAAAATGCTGCTTTTGCAATTTACAGAGCATCTTTAACTGTTCCTTTTTTCTGGGTGGATGATGTGTACATTACTGGGGTTTTAGCAGCTAAAGCTGGGATACCTCATACTCACATTAAACTTGGAATTGAAACTTGGAATTTCTGGCCTATGAAAAGTGATCCTAAGAAATTTATTGCGATTGAGCTCAAAAAGATTCAAGGCATGTTAGAAATTTGGCGAAACATAACAATGCCGTAATTAAAAACATACTGTGTTTATTTAACATTTCATTTATTTTGATCTAAACGTCTTACATCTCCAAAAGACAATCTCCAAAAGACTGCTAGCCCTCAACGTTTTACCCCTTAGACAATTCACCCTTAAAGACCCAATTTTTTAAAGTTTAGTACATGTATATACATAATAAGATTTTATAGTAATTTATATTTATTATATTGAGAAAAGATTAACAGAGAAAAAAAGTTTTAAATTTTTTTCTAAAAGTTTTTGCCAAGGCTGTGACTCGAATACCCTTGGGCCGATTTTGTTCATATATGGTACACATATACCCTATGGGGGTACAAGTTCTGCTCGAAAGCCGATTTTCAAATTGGCCACTCAACAGTATACCTTGTGGACATTTCACTTCACAATATTTAACCTCCTGCCCATTTGATCCCCATACATTTTAATCCTTGCAGATTTCTATCCCTGTACCTTTCACCAATGGACATTTCACCCTTTACCTATTTGAGACCCATACATTTTAATCCTTGCGGATTTCTATCCCTGTACCTTTCACCAATGGACATTTCTATCCCTGTACCTTTCACTCATGGACATTTTATCCCTACACGTTTGATCCACTATACATTTCACTAATGTACATTTCACCCCTGCACACTCCTATACATTTTAGTCCCTGTAGATTTTATTTCCTGCACATTTTACCCCATGGACATTTCACTAATGAACATTTCACTCCTGCACATCTGATTCCTTGTACATATCACCACATATATACATATCAGACATCAGAGGCAGCTATTGTTTATGTTTTTTATTTTACATGATATAATATCATGCTCTGAAGAAGTGCTTGTTTGACTTAAAAAACTCGTAAAATTGTTTATACTACATTTTAAAGACTCTAAGTAGTCTAAGTAGGAAATAAATAGTTAAAATGATTACTTTGTTTTGCCTTTGTTTAACCTCACTGTAAGTTTGTAAGAATCCTTTTATGAACCAAGAGGTTGTAATCCCATCCAAATCCTTACATTTTGTATTACTTTACTAATGAGGTATTCCATAGGCCCTTAAACTTGACTGAATATACAATAATAGCATGTAAAAAGGATAAAATAAAATATAAATATGATTTATCACGATTGAACGGTAATGCTGAAGATGTTTGCACTGCACACCCTAAATATTTCCTAGTGAGAGCCCTGTTTCATGTTATACAAAACCTTGAAATGTGAACACCTGCCAGTCTGAACACTTGGCCAGCCTTAGTGGCATTCAGATTAGACAGGTTTTACTGTAGGGCAACATTACAATGTTAATTGAATTAATTTATGTTTCCTAGACCTTAATTTTGTAATTTTAAAATTTTTCACAAACAAGTAGTGTGTAGAAGGTATAGTACGCCTAGCTTTCCTTTAAGTTCAAAAGAAGCCAGCTTGTTAGCCTCTGGAAAGACACTTGTCCATCCTTCCCTTTGTCCATCCATCTGACAACAATTTATAAATTAGATCTGCCTGAACTAATGCTCATAACTATGTTATGGGGTCCATACTGGTACTTACTTTTGCCTAATTTTGGAGAAATGTTTTTTGTGTACTCAAATATCACATTTTCCTCAAGTCGACTCTAATATGAAAACTGGAGCCAGGAGTCAACGAAAAATGTTTCTTTTATGTCTTTATTTCTGCTAAAATTGATTTGTTGAGAAACTATTTTTGTTCAACATCAGTACAAAAAACTCCCCTATGACTCCTGGTTAGCTCGCCTATTTTCAAAATGGTCGTCATTTTTGTCTCGAGAAATTCACTTTTGGCCCATTTCCTAGCTTTACAAAGAATTTCAGGTGTCCTGCATTGTAAAAAGCCATGTCAATGTAAAGGGCAGTTGTATGAAATCATTTTGTTACAAAATATCGGCAAAAAATTATATCAGTTTTTTTATATTCAACCATTTTAGTTAACATTGATTTGTCCATCTGTCTCGCGAAATCCTCTTTTGGACCATTTGCCTTAAAACCTCTGTCGATAGGATTCCAGTTTTAAGTTATTTTTGTTCAACATCAATACAAAAAACTCCCCTATGACTCCTGGTTCAAAAGCTTGCCTATTTTCAAAATGGTCGCCATTTTAATGAAAAAAGCCATGTCTTTTTAAAGAGTAGTTGTATGAAATAATTTTGTTACAAAAAATCGGCAAAAAATTATATCCGTTTTTTTATTTGTTGTCATTTTTGCCATCATTAACTTTTGAGCAACACCATGTGAGCCCAGTACCCATGGTACTATTTTTTAAGTACAGCATTAACAGGCATCATGTCGCAATGTCTCCCTTAAAAATGACTCTTCAGACACCCTTCGTGCCTTGAGGAATACATGTGTCCCTTAGTACTCATGTTTTCTCTATTCCAGCCTACTAACGCTGATATGACAGGGGTGAACATGATAGCATTCCGACGCCTCAACCAGATGGACGTCAGTGGGAATGTCATAACAGATGTGCAATATCTCAGTTCTCTCAAGGTCAGTTATTCTACCTTTAACCTTATAGCTATTAGGAGTAGGTGGTAAATATAGAGCTAAAATGTATAATGTGAGAGCCATCTATTTATCATTTTCAAAGTTCTCTCAAATGATAAAATTTAGCCTGAAAATATACTGTCTGTTGTGTGAAATAATAACAACAGAATTGTATGTTCATAAAAATATTAAATTTAATAATTTATCAAGGAATGAAGAATGAACTACTGTGTCATCTGTCCAGCATTGCAAGTCTTAGATAAAAAAAATCATAGATTTATGTTGTGTTGGAAAGTTGAAAAATACTGTTTATGTTTACTTTAACACCTTTTGGTGGCCTATTCAACTATGGAGTGGTCTTTTAGATAAGAGTACACTGTCCAAATAAGTACAATAGTATATGCTAATGTTTATTTGATGCAGGTGCGTCTGTACAGGGAGGAGAATCCAGACAGCCCGATCCATACAGCCTCCTTAGTGAACACTCCTTTCTTCTACCTCCCCTCTCTGGCCAGGGATGGACAGGTAAACGTTAATCAATTTTCCATTCCATACCTCCCCACTTTCATGTCAGACTTGACCCCCAGGAACCCCTTGGTCCTTTCAGTTTTTGCCCCTGGCAATTTTTTTTAAACATTCATGCACCCTTTCCACTTTTATTTGATAAATGAAGCATTGGGATTTTTAATGAATAAACTAAAATAACAGCAATTGCACTGAACAAATGTGTATTTTCAGTTGAGTAAAATCAATATTCTCCTACATTTTAATTCACTAGTTTAAATCAGAGTGGGAGCTTCAATGGTGAGATAGTATCCATCACCATAAAGCTCATTCCTGAAATCCTCTCTGAAATCTGCAGTGAATTTAAAGATTGTTGTTTCTCCCTCAACACATTCTGTGGGTCGGGCCACCATTCTCCATGTTGTACGATCATTGTTGAGGATTTGTGTTGGAAAGGCCATGCCACTCTACAAAAACACATCACTAACTTAGTTCTACTAACTACTTACTAACTAGAATTTCTGTCAACAGGCAACAAGAATACAAACGAAGGGCAAAATTGTCATGATTTAATTTTTAACATGGGACAGTTGCAAAACTTCAGAAAACAACATCATGTATGTCAGGCAATTCATGTAAAAACAACTCGAAAAATTGCATGTTCCTGGTGCTAATTGAAGCCTCTGTTATGGTAAGTTTCTGTTTAAAGGCTCAACCTGAACTCCTCCCACCTTCTCAAGTTCATAGAGTTAATTCAAATATATCAAGTGTGTCTCAGCCATTCACCTTAGAGTATTTGAGAGAAATAATCCAAGACACATGGTTTCGTAATGAACTGAGCAGTGTCATTAATGCTAAAAGAGTGACATCAAAGTGCATCAGGGTTTCATAAAGAACTTGACAATGTCATTTTTTATAAAGAAGCGATATATTTGAATTGCAAGAAAGACCCCTGTATCATTCTTTTTTTGGATTTAAAAGCATTTGTGTATGCACTAACCTATCCTGAAAATGTAATTGGGGTCTGCCCTCATGCATTATGTGTATGGTTAAGTACATGCACTCCTGCTTAAACATTTCTTTATTTCTTAAATCAATTGACAATTTTCAGAAAAAAACATTTTCTGGGTGATGTACTCTCAATGATATTCCCAGGTGAAGTTCAATTTCTGATTTGAATTCTAATAGGAACAGTGCTTCCTCTAATACAGGGTGACAGGGTAGCACTTTTTGTGTCACCCTGTATAACTTACATTGAGATTTTCAAGCTCTACAGGGAACTTGAGATCAATCGTACATGATGGACTACAAGCTGGTTCCTCTTCATTGAATTCTCCACCACAGTCTGCATTAGATATTGTCCCTTTGTAGCCTTTACTCCATCTCTCATGAATTCCATCACCTACAATATCATTTAAAGCCTCTTGTCAGTGTTAAATTAGCTTTGAAATTGATTTTTATGTCACCACCACAAGTGGTTACATATGTTGTAGTCTCCAACTTTTTTATGAATGGTGTTCTGCGGTTTGTCTTTGAAATCTCCCCATTAGTAGCAGTAGGTATCTGTCACAATCACTGTCATTTTTACATTTATAATTCCCTATTGTTACATTTATTACAAGTTAGAAATAATGCTTACCTGTCCCGAATGCTACTACAGCTAAAGTAAGGAGAGCAATGAATCTTAACATTTTCTCTTATGTTTTGTTTGTCTTCTTTCTGACTTTCTGTGATGAATAATTTGTTACGCTTCATAAGATTTTCCGAGTTTTTATACCTGCTGTCTGTGCATGTCTCTTACTTTGATAGTTTGCATATTAATGTTGTATCACGACTCACAAATTATGAAGTTGGAGTTTTACTTGTTATGTCATGTTCAATTATTTAAGAGATGTGGAAGGTCTATTGGCAATGTTTTAATCAAGATACAAAAAAATTGCCACACAGTTAATATGACATGACATTCAAATAAAGGTTTCATTTCTGTCAATAATAAATACAACTTAATTGCATACTTGATAGTGTGTGGTTAAGTTTGCTTGAAAAGCTCAATCAAAAAGGGCGATTCATAATACAGTATTTAATAAGTAAATATTAGTAATCATACAATTCTGTGTTTTAGCTTAATAATGAAAGTTGCAATAATTGTAAATTCTCAAAGTTCTTTTGGATTTAAAATGAACTTAACAAAATTGGCAGTTTCATAAAAATCCTAACTATATATGGTGAATTGTTTATCTTAACATTTGTATATATATGTTATGATGTTTCAGAGGTATTCCCTACGATTGACCAGCACTCTTGGTCGCTCCACCCATGACTTCACTCTGCCTGAGACCCAGTTCACAGCAGACACCACATACAAGCACTTCACCTTTAAGTTCAATCCAAAAGTAAGTATAGTAAAACTGTGTAATGCCTTGGTCACATTTGCTCTGATTTTCACCACGGCGCCCGGCGGATTGAGTATTTTGTCCAAAATTGAATATAATATTGAACAAAACGCTCAATCGGAGCATATGTGACCAAGGTATTAGCGGAACACTTTGCATGGTAATTGGTACCTCTTAAAAGTGTTCCACATTCGGAGGTTTATTTCACATTCAATTGTAATGTCACAGAGTTGAAAAGTGTTCTACTGGCACAGGTGTTCCACTTGGCAGCCTTTTACAAGATTATGAACACTGGGTTAAATCTTTTGCAGTTTAATGTAACTCTGTGTACGAAATGTTTTTTAATTAAATATGATCTATGAATTATGGGAAGTAAAGATAAGATACTAAATTAAAATCATCATTATATTATATCTAACCTAATACTGCTTTATTTATTCCTGGATGTCATATTATATTGTATATATGAACTGTCCTTAATCTTTGAAACGTTCTGTTTGATTTCAGCCACGTCCAATAGAGCAAGAATTGGCGCAGAGTTCAGTCTTAGTACTCCCTCTCACTTTACTTGTGTTAGCCCTGGCTTATAATTACCAGAAGGTGAGAAATAATAGAGTTAATGTTTCATCTTAAAACGTATATACAGCCTTGATTAATTGAGTAAAGTTAGAATTGAACTGAATTCATTTCAAAGTAAGCCTTTTACGAGGATTTTGGTGTGAAAGTGACAATTGGTTGACACGGATTAGAGCCAACAAAAAGTTCCAAAAAGCAAGCCCAATTTCCTGTTTAAGAACCCCTATTCTTACTATTGAAAATGGTTTCTAGCAAAACTATTCCAAATGATTTTGATTGTTGAGATTCAGTCAACTTGAGTTCTTCTGAGAAACAATGAGAATTTCAGCAAGGGTGCCATTGACTTAACATGGGGATGCAATTGACTTCATCCTGCATATTGAGTCTAAAGAAGTAGTATTGATTCATGTGGGAGAGTATTGCTTGAATCCATTTTCAGATATTAAGAATAGGGGTTCTTAAACAAGACATTAAAGCTGAACTTAGGCCTTATTGAAATTTTTGGTTAGTAATTAGATTCAATGTTACAACTTTATATGATTGAAACAAACCTGAAATAGTAAATTCAATCTAATCTCAATATTTCAGAATTCATAGTTTTGCACTGTATCTATATTTCAGCTACTACCCATGTTATCTCAAGGTGTTATACAATTACGAAGTGCCGTGAATAAGCAAATAGCTCAGAACATTCCCCAGCCTCAATCTGATAATGACGACATTGCGGGTATTGCTGAAGAAATCATGGGCAAAAAGAAAAATAAAGCGAGGAAGGCGTGATTAAAATTAATTTAGGATATTTTAATTTAACAAATAGATCATGCAAAATTATTGATCTACCAAAATACAGAATAGTACTCTATGAAATTAATTTTTAATGATGAATTGGATCAATAAAGTAAATGATGTTATGATATGATTGAAATATGCCTCGAATATATGAAAATGGTAGTTATTGATGATTTAAGGGATTTACAGTAAAGCCTTGTAATCTGTCTGATGTATTTCACAATTTGTCTTATGTAGTAGAAACAAAATGTTACTTGTAGTTTTTGTAATTTTTTTTATTTCAACATTATTCTATTAATGGTATTGTTATATCTAATTCAATTTTGTTTTTTAAAGTTATTGTGTTCAGATTGTGTTTATATTTATTGTAAATTCAATCCTTTTATACAACATATGAATGGGTCTCTGCAATTTGGCCCTTTCAAGTTTCAATTTCCTTTAATTTCAGTGTATTAATTTTTCTTTAATGTGCCTATATATGAAATAAATAATATTTATTAGTCCACTCTTGAGTGATGTACACATTTTGTAAGAGGTTGTAAAAAGTACATATTCAGACTTGTTCTTGTAAAAGTGATTAGTATATTATGTCTTAGTCACACCAAAAAATTTCCTATAAGATTCTGGAGAATTGGAGTGAAACCATTTTTATCCACAAGTTGATATGTGTTCACAATATTTAATACTATACAGATTTGAGCTCAACCATGGGATAATAAGAGCTGCACTTTTTTAGAACTTAACATGAGAAGCATGGTCCTCTCGGGAATTACGCTCCCCTTCATAGAACTGTAGAACCTGCTAAGTGGAACACCTCTGTAAGTGAAACACCTCACAAGTGGAACAGTGTTTCTAAAATCCCATGGCCTATATACTTGTACTCCATGTTAATGAACCTCTATTAGTGGGACACCTCCCTAGTGAACTCTTTTTGTGGTCCCAAGGGTGTTCCACTTACACAGGTTCTATTGTACTTCTTTGTTCTGTTGAGTATAAAGAATGTGTGTGCTATAGGTCCATGGAGAAACCAAATGAGAGGGGGGCAGTAATCCTTGGAGACGTTACACATTCATGTAAAAGTTCTCTTAAATATGTGTAGCTTCACCTCCCTAATGATAAATATTTTGAACCATCTCCTCCACTCAAAGTCTGATTGTATATATTGAATTCTCAAAGTAGATTGTAAATATTTCTACATCCTGTATGTGTTGTCCTCTTATCATGTAAGATAAAATAGGGAATAAAGAATGTATAAATCTTTTATACTGTAAAATTGTCTTGTGTTAAAGTATGTGACATATATGTAATGTCATCACCAAACTTCTAACAATACAAAACATTGGATTTGTAATTTTTTTATTCAATTTCCAACTCTACTACCCTTTCCATTTACTCTAGAACTAACCTCTGCACATGGCGCAAGAAGTACATTTGTGGACAAATACCATTCTTCTGAAAAAATGCTCATATTCATTCAATGGGGCTCCATACTATTAATTTGCAGCATTGATCCCTGCACCTTCCTTTACCTCGGATGATTTTTCTCAGGATGAGGAATCACCAAATAAATGCCATTTTTTGCAGGATTTGATTTATTACAAGCGTAATGTAATACCTGCAGTGCAACAAAGCTCCGAGACTCCTACATGTATAATGAATCTTCAATGGTCATTCAGAGACAGTTTTGCCAAATATTTTAACAAAAAGATTCTAGTATATTTAAGTCTGATGTATGGTCCATGAATATTCATATCCCTAGATGCACTTTTCAGACAATTTGTTCACAAAATCACCATTCCACTTTAGCCTCTTTAGGAGCTATTGAAATTTTGATGTCCTCAAACAGCTTCTGAAGATTTTTATCATCAGGGTACTCCTTTAATAGCTCCTGCAACAATGAGATTAAAAACAATTAAATTTCAAAAAACTAAAATACAGTATGAACACAGGACACAATATTTGTCATCATTTTAATACTGTGCGCAATTTTGGCATAATTTCCTTTCTAAATCCACTAATTTTACTGTATATTTGTTTTGTCATTAATTTAGGTAGCCCCCATTTAGATCAACAACAAAAGGTCCCATTCAAAGTTCAAACGTGTTGTTTAATCATTTTCCCGAGAAAGAAATTGTTTGAGATATTTGACTTTTAAAAACAAATTGTTGGTGTTTCTTTTATTAATATTTGAATTTCCCACCATTTTTGAATCATAAAACATGCCCAATTATCAGCATTTGTCTGATGGCTTCAAAAACTACTGACCTTCGCTTCTTCTGTAGTCTCTTTCCGCATCAATAGCTTTAGTAGATTACTCCTAGCAATAGAGGGAGCTAGGGTAGCTTCAGATCCCACGGGGGAGTTCTGCAACATCTCTTGGAAGACTCGCTTGGCTTTTCTACAATATAACAATCATGAATGTGTTACCTTGCATCAACATACTTCAATTCAAACATAAGTATACTCTGGTTGTTTCAAAAGCTAGTTATAAAGCATAATGGACCAATATGCAAAGTTCTCAATAAGCATTACCAAAATGAAAAGATCATTAACAGATATTACAATATTAAATGAAATCAAAATACTCTATTCATTCGTATTTGAGAGTAAAGACCTCCAGAGACCATAAGTCAATTAAAACTAATTACCTTGCATTTTTCTCATGGACCATGCTAAGGATGCCCTTCATCAGCATTGCAGCAGGGGACCATGGGTTAACACGTCTTAACTCTTGAAGAGCTTCATAGGCAACATCCTTCCATTTCCAGGCATCCCCACCACTACCAATACCCTATAATAAATCATATCAATGGATCATAAACATTAAGACACACAAACTGGAAAATTAAAATTCAAGTTTTCTAGTGTTAAACTAGTAGTTTGCATGTTTAGGTTTCATAATTTACAATTTTGCCAGGCAGTAAGTAAGAGACTACATGTACATCTTCTGGAGTAAACAGAGTAGTAAGTGAACCTACCAGAACTTCTTTAAAGGCCAAATGAGCAAGTCTCAGTAAAGTAGCCTCTCTTACATTAGCAGTGCTGCAAAGAAAAATATAGAAATTGCGTCCGATTCACAAAATGTTAATAGCATTACCCATTTACGGCATGTGCACATGCATTGCTTTTCAGTGCATATCAGTTCATTTTTATCAGTTTCAATTCTGTTGTAGAAAATTGAATGCATTTAAAACATTAAGAATGGAGGCAGAGAATCTTGAAACATGAATAGCACCATCTTTTTATCAAAACCGATAAGTCGATTTCCCCGAAAATTGCATATTACTGTAAAATGTGGCCTAATAGGAACGACCATAATTGCTATGAAGGTACTGAAGTTTAAAGTACCTGGTGTCGAGACATGAAGCAAGGATCTGTTTATACACAACATGTGCCTCATCTACCAGACCCTGGTATACATTCACTTCAGACTGCAACTAAAAATATATATTAATGCATCAATTTTATTCATTTTGGGTTTGTTTTTATATTGACTAGGGATCTGAAGTAAATAAAATTTTTCAGTTTTCTCTATATGATGTCATAGTATTCTAACACAAGTAAATTACTTCTGTCGCCTTTTGTTCTGATAATTGTTCACTCAAGTGAATCACATTATAAGATTGTATACTAAAAAATTATTGCTTGTATCAATATTGAATTAACAAGTATCATGAGATGAAAACATTGACCAGAAAACCCTGAACATTCATATAATGTAAATCAAAATGCACTGGTACCGGATTTTCTCGCATATAAGCCCTGGGCGTATGACTGAAAGAAGGGGTAATTTCGTCTGTTATTTTACCTCTAATTTTTCGCCCATGGGCGTATAAGTGTACTACTTTCGATTTTTGGCCCAGTGGGCGTAAAGGTGAGAAGATGGTGGGCATCAGCCATCATCCTCAAAGACTACCGTACCTACTGTTGTAGTCCTACCGCATGTTTTGTAAGAATTATAAAGGAAATGTCACCTACAACCTTGGACTTAATGTTGAAACAAAGTAACAACAAAACGATCCACCACTGCCACTTACGGCACAGCGTTGAACTTAATGTTGAAACAAAGTAAAGACAGAACGATCTGCCAGTGACAAAATACTCTTGAATTTATTGAGAAAATCAATAAATAGTCATTTTTTATAGGCCCATGGGCGTATAAGCGTACTACATTCGATTTTTGGCCCATGGGCCTAAATTTAGGGGGGCGTATATGCGAGAAAATCTGGTATTTAAAGAAATACAAATGTACTCAATTTGTTACAGATCTTTCTATTCAAATGATTGTTTGTACCTTGAGACTGAGGGAAGGTCCTGTGCTGTTCTGGTTGGCCAGTAGGGAGTCCCCACTCGCATAGGCCAGTAGTGCATCTAGGTCATCATCATTGCTGTAGATCTCCTTTGCCTGCAATTATATTTTAAAAAATATCAATTAGGTAGCAGTAACAAATTCTGTCAAAATTCTTTCCATGCAATTATAAAAATGAAAATTGTATGCATAATATCTATTTTTTGATTTATTCATGTAGTATAATCATCTAGTGTTACATTTATGCATTAGATACCCATAGGTATAAACTGCTAAAAACAAATCAGAAGTTTTGGAAGACAGATCAAAACAGTTTTCTTCTTCAGAATTTAGAATTGTACCCTCTCCTTTTTCATCTTAATCATCATCTCATCTCATCTCAGCTTATGACAGTAAAATGGAATTAGTGTAACACAATCCTCCCTTTAAACTACCCTTTCCCCAGAACATAATTACTTTTGCTCTTTGACTCAGCCACTTGCCTGACTTAAGAACTCATTTGCCTCTGTGAACTTTCCCTGCGTGAGTAATGAAGCCACATGATGTCTTACTGACCATTGGTGCAGGCCCTGGAGGTCTGTGTTACTCTCACTTGTCCATATGGCAGCCTCAACTAAATAAAGTATGAAATGTTTTCTTCAAATATATCAGCACAAATATGTAAGCACAATTGAAATAAACGGAGACCATAACAATATGTCACCACTTTTTGGTGGTGACATAAAAATTGGATTTGGGCAAAATAGGTTTAGGTCTGATATCAGGCAATAAAGGGAGTTTGTGATGGTGTACTTGATACATAAAAGGATGGAATCCATAAAATCTGGTCTTATGTACTGTAGGAAGGAGGGGAAGGAAAAAAGGAAAATTTCTCAGGAAAAGGGTAAAATGGTTAGTCCCCATTCTACTCCTTGTTCTTATGGTCTATTCCATAAGACCCCATCTTAAGTCAGATCCAGGCAAAACTGAATTCACATTTTATGACTGATCTGAGACTGATCTTCAATGGCATAACCAACCACCAAATATGCAACTTTTAATCTACACATACTGCCACTAGACACCCCTATAATGTAAAATAATGCAAATACAAGAACACAAATGTGTACAATATGTCCCCACCAATGGGTGATCCCGTCTAATGGTTATCCTGGAAATGAGTAGACAAGACTACTGTTACAATTTTGAAAGGGAAAATGCAAAATGGCCACCTTAAAATTTACCAAGAATGCCCAAAAAATTAGTCAGCTGTAGATTTTCATACTAAGAACCATCCCTGAAAATTTGAAATTGATCCGTCAAACAGTAAACCAGAAAACGCGTAAACAATACTTTACAAACAAGATTTTAGGACAGAAAAATCCAAAATGGCTGCCTTGACATTTGCTCAGAATGCCTAAAAACTAATCAGTTCTAGATTTTCATACTAAGAATCATCCCTGAATATTTGAAATTGATCTACCAAACAGTTCACCTGAAAACACGTAGACAAGACTTTACAGGCAAGATTTTAGGATGGAAAATCCAAAATGGCTGCCTTGACATTTACCCAGAATGCCAAAAAACTAATCAGATCTAGATTTTCATACTAAGAATCATCCCTAAAAATTTGAAATTGATCTACCAAACAGTTCACCTGAAAACGCGAAGACAAGACTTTACAGACAAGATTTTAGGATGGAAAATCCAAAATGGCTGCCTTGACATTTACCCAGAATGCCAAAAAACTAATCAGATCTAGATTTTCATATAAGAATCATCCCTGAAAATTTGAAATTGATCTACCAAATGGTTCACCTGAAAACGCATAGACAAGACTTTACTGACAAGATTTTAGGTCGGAAAATCCAAAATGGCTTATTGACATTTACCCAGAATGCCAAAAAACTTATAAGATCTAGATTTTCATTCTAAGAATCATCCCTGAAAATTTGAAATTGATCTACCAAATGCTTCACCTGGAAATGCATAGACAAGTCTTTAGAGACAAGATTTTAAGACGGAAAATCAAAAATGGCTGCCTTGACATTTACCCAGAATGCCAAAAAACTAATCAGATCTAGATTTTCATACTAAGAATCATCCCTGAAAATTTGAAAATGATCTACAAAACGGTTCGCCTGAAAACGCGTAGACAAGACTTCACAGACAAGATTTTAGGACAGAAAATCCAAAATGGCTGCCTTGACATTTACCCAGAATGCCAAAAACTAATCAGATCTACATTTTCATACTAAGAATCATCCCTGAAAATTTGAAAATGATCTACCAAACGGTTCGCCTGAAAACGCATAGACAAGACTTTACAGACAAGATTTAAAGATTGAAAAATCCAAAATGGCCGACAATAAAAAAGTGATTATAAGTTTTTGCTGATTTCTTTTTACAAAATTAGCACATATAACTACTGTTAACAATAACATAGGCTTTAACAATAAAGTACACCTGAAATTATTTATAAAGCTACTAAATAGTCTAAGTATGAAAACTCAAAAACACCATTCAATATGATACAAAGTATTATCGCACGCTAACTTTTCTTAAGACATTCAAAATGGCTGCCATGACTGGGCTAACAGGTCCAAAACCTAATCAGATCTAGAATCAAGTGAGCTGAACAGGATGTTAAAGTTTTAAAAACAACAGTGAAGCCATTTTTCTTAAAGTTTGCAGACAAGGATTTTAGCATTTGACTTCAAAATGGCCGACAGGAAGTAGGTATCGAGTTGAAACTTTTTCGTCCACATCTGTATGCACTCATAAGTTATCCCTGAAAATTTGAATGTGATATTGGTAGCGGTTTTGGAGAAAACTGCCCGACGTACGGACGGACGGACAGACAGACGGACGGACGGACGGACGCGCCTAGGCCGACAATATGGCCCCACACTATGTGGTGGGGACATAAAAAAGGCCTATATGTGAGGAAATGCTAGACTTACCTTTGCTCATTAGCAGAGAGTTGTATACAAGTTCAAGGTCATTGAGTGACGTGTCCTTGTTGGTCACCTGACGTCGTACATTTTCAGAATGGAGAGAAGCAAGTAAACAGCAGAGATGTTCCTCGCTATCTGCAATTACAAAATTATCAGATATTAATTTTATAAAGATAAAAATGGTGGAAAATTCAAATATTAATAAAAGAAAAGCCAACAATTTGTTTTTAAAAGTCAAATATCTCAAACAATTTCTTACTCAGGAAAATGATTAAACAACACGTTCAAATGGGACCTTTTATTGTTGATCTAAATTGGGGTTACACAAATTAATGATAAAGCAATAAACAGTAAAATTAGTGCACATACATTATATTTTCAACGCCTTATATAGAGAAAACACCTTATTTGAATGCCTTTTCAACTTATTTTGGGATGTTCCATCGATTCAAATGCTGTGAGAACCTATTTTTTAAATAGCCCTCACACAAAATGCTTATAATCCCAACAGAACACACAAAGTATAAAGTTGATGCATGAGCTTATAGAGGTGAGAGTTAACGAAGTCTTATCTTTATGGACCCTCATAAAAATCACTTTCCTTAAATCACCATGATTAGACTAATATAATGTACCGTAAGTAATAGTAGATCAAAGCGCTATTTTTGTAGCATTGTGCTCAACCAATCAGCAATAGGGCCCAAATAGAACTTTGGGATGCTGGTATTGCACTTCCTACTTTATTCATTTTGAAAATGACATAACAGATGCATGGTAACCTTCAGTTGATATATGAGCCTTTTGATAATGCCTCTAACCTAATTTTGTATGTACGAGGGGGGATTCATAAGTAGTGGGACAAATGCTATAACTCCACTTCTATCAACCAGGTTTTATTCAAACTTGGAACACAGAACCACAAACATGTGATAATCATTTTGTGAAAATTTCAAAAAGTTACACCCAACTTCAGTAAAGTGAGAGTTCCAATCATGACGTCACAACAGGGTCCACGGAGCACATTGTTTGTCACAAATTGCTAGTTAAATATACAAGTCTCAACTGATATTCAGGACGTGATTTAATCCGTGACTTCTAGAGAGTCATTTTGTGGACCACATCAATTCTGTGCAGGACTATTGATTCCTTATCCTTCTGGTGCAATCTCACTCTTTCTCAAAGTATTCGCCATGACAATCAATGCATTTTTGGCACATCCTCGACCATTCTAGGTATGCACCCTCAAAACCATATTTTCCAAGATTGGTCATCTCGGTTCTCACAGCATATTCAGAATACAAACACAGAATACCACCTATATACTGTAGATTTTTTAAACTTTTTCTTTCCCATAGACTTCCAACAAACCTCATTAGGTCTCCAATACTGAAAACTTCTTCAAAGCATTAAATTTAATCTCAGCACGGATGTTTATACGTGATTCTTGCTTTTTCATTGCTATTTTAATCAAATTTTGCTCCATCCAAGAAGGACTGAAAATGGCAGTGTCCTGGTGTCACTGCTTTGTGTGACATCACAATAGCATGATGATGTAATATATGTTACAGTTGTCATGACTTCAGGGCTTGAGACAATATGAAACCAAATATTTGAAAATAACTGTCATTTTGAGATATTTATGAGCATATTTATGTTGATCAAGCCCTTCATTTTTTAACTGCTCCGTTAACCCCTACTTTTGGTTACCATAGCAACCGTTGTTGCTAAGGAACAAAATGAATTGAATTGAAATTCCACCAAACAATGCCTTATATCCCACTGCATCAAATGTGGAATTTCTAGTAATTTCTAGACGTGCTTAGTCGGTCTAGGAACTCCGTGTATCTAGAGATTTCTAGTCGTGCTTAGACGTGCTTAGAGCTGGCGTGGACAGAGCGTGACTAGAGTCTAGAAATCTCTAAGCACGCCGTGGTTAGACACAAGACAAAATTAGTCGTTATAAATTGCCATGTGCGATTTTGCGCTATATATGGAAACATTTAAATTATAATTTACCGCACGTGTTAATATTTCATGTTTTGCTTTAGCTAAATACGGGATATCAAATCAAAAAGAGTATGTTTTCACTTTATATCCGACTTGAGTCACGAAAAGTACATCGCAACATGGCTTCTTAATTGTTAACTTGTTATAAATTAAGAAGGTCTGTTTAAATGGGTATTTCCACTAATCAACGCCCATTATTTCGCATTGACAAGTACCAGGGCCGAATCCAGCATTTGCTAAGGGGATGACTTTTGAATTATTCCAGGGGTGAGGTCACATTTGATATTTGCTCAAAAATTACACGAAAACTGCTCAAAATGGTTATTGGCCAGGGGATACAGTATTATTTTAAACTAGACATCTCTGTCGGCGAGGGGGGGGGCTAACTTATTCCAGGGGTGGGGTCACATTTGATATTTGTTCAAAATCACACGAAAACTGCTCAAAATGGTGAAAGAATAATTGGCCGGTGGATGCAGTATTATTTTAAACAATACATTACTGTCGGCGATGGGGAGGGGGGCTAACATATAGTTGAAATTACAAAATACGCTTCCTTAATTTTTGATAATCTATAAACATAATCTTGTCATAAACAGCTACTGATTTATATATATGAACGGATATTTGTAAATTTGGTTTAAAAAGAAACTGAATATAGGGTAAAAATGAGGGAGACACAGACGTCGGAAGAGTGGGGATAAAATCTAATCAACACTAAGCTGAGACAGAATGAGAATCATATGTCTGGACTCGCAAGATTTTCATAAACATATTTGTTGATTGCTCGCGAAAACAAAAACAAATTTCAGGGTTCATTGGCATCACACAATATTTGCAAAATGGGGGAGAGCATTTTCCCAGCTTTAACTATCAGATTCAGTAGCACCCTGCCCTTGATATATTAATACATAGTTTTCTTGTACCCCTTTTCAAAAATACAACGAACTAAATACATAGTAATAATGATCTTGAAATTGATTTCTTTGATCTGTAATCTAGATCGCACAATAACTAATTAACTGTTTGATTGCGTTTTTGCTTCTTCAAAGACGGGATATCCCAAGATTAACTTGATTATAGCATGGGCTTTCAAGGGAGTCCACGATTGCAGTCTACATGGTCTATAGGCTATTTTTAATTCCTCGTTATTTTAGTTGTGTATCTCTGAATCCCGGCTCTGATTATCATATACAATTTACTTTAACCAATTTTACCCGTTTTTGAACTTCAAAACTGTCACATACATATTGGTGGTCCCTAATCATATTAGGACCAATAACAAATAACATAATTCAACTGGAAAACATACAATACATATTCATCATCTCATCTATTTCTCCGATTTGTATCTCTCGGTAATCTTTATGCCTTGAGCCCCCCCCCCTTACAGATACTTTAGATACACTTATTTTGACGCTACTTAATTTGACGAATTTGCTCAATTTCAAATATTGGTGGCTATTTAATTTGGCGGAATCAGGACTGACGTTTAATTTTTGTCATGTTTATGCATGGGCTATCAAAAGATTCTCTTGAAAGCCCATGGTTTATGTCATTAGGACGGGTATTTACTAAGATATTTTCTGTATTTCTTTTGGGATAATGTATGACATGTTGATGACATGCTCAGTTGACAGGAAAGGGGGCCCCAGAAGATTAATTTCTAAAGTGCATTTGACAAAAATTCCAAACTGAAATTTGGCGGATTTTAATTTGGCGGATTTTCTGACTCCGTCAATCCGTCTAATTAAAACTGGAGCCAAATTAAGTGTATTCAGTTATATCAATATTATTTTGTATCTATCTGACATTATAATTTCGAAAAGAGATTCTCCCGAGGACATTCGGGATTTCGAACATAATAAACTTAATTTGAAATTGAATCTGAAATTCTGTCAGAACGGAATACATGGACCTCCTGGTTACATGGTTTATCTTATTCTAAATGGACAAATAAGATCGCAGGGGCAGGAAACTCTCCCGTGCATGTAGTTGACATTTTGTTCATATAAAAGGCATTTGCATTAATCCTTTTGATAACTTTCTTTCGTAGTTGGTCTCTTGACCCGAAACATTCTGGCTACAACAATACAATTGAGTTTTAGAGAAAAAATTGTGACTAACCACCCTAAGAGGAACGTTGGAGCTTTTTAAGACCACATTAAGCCCCTACTTTAACTAACATCCTAACACATGTTAAAGCCAAGCTTTTCCAGGATATCTTCAATCAATCCTCAACCCCTGTTAAATACCCATTTTACAGGGTGTCTACACCGGGGCCTACCCCCTAAGGCCTTGACCCTCGTTAAAATCCTACTTTTGAAGGTAACATACCCCTTCAACCTCCCTTCAAAACCCTACTTGTAGAGGGTACCTACCCCTAAATCCCATGTTAAAGCCCTTATATTTGCCGGGTACATACATACCCCCTCCCTCTCAAGCCGTACTTTTGCTGTTCCCCACAACTGAATTCATTTGTGAACTATTATTTTGAATGAATTAAAATGACGTAAGCGTAAAAGTGTAAGCGTAAAAGCGTAAGTGTAAAATTTTTGAAAAAAGCCTATTAAAAGACGAATTGTTTGAATACTTTGCGAGGAAATCAATATTGATGTACCGTATTGAAGTCATAAACAACAGCTTCGAGATGTCAGCCCGAAGACTATCTCCCGGTTGTCATGTTTATCTAGGAAACTGCTGATTGTAATCATAATAGGACACACGGCAAAAAATGTGTATCAAAATCCGTTGAAACCTGCTTAAAGGTAATACATTTGTATTATCAAAAATACAATCTTGTTCTGACCATCGTGAATCCTGAACATTCCAAAAAGGGCATATTTTGTATTCACCAAGTGACATAATGTACATGTAACTGTGTCTGTGTCTGTGATCTTCAGTCAGTGACAGTTGTAGAGACTAGTTGCAACTTTAAAAATAAAAAAAGAGACTAGCTGCAACTGGTGATGTTTTCCATGGAAAGCCGTGAGCACGCTTTGCAAACTATCTCTGGACTCTCTCTCTCTCTCTCTAGACGGCAGAGGGGGGGGGGGAGTTGCTATGAGTGCGAAGGCACCCCCCTCCCCCCCCCCAAAAAAAAGCTTATAAAACATAACCATTAGATA